GGCTGGTGGATGATCTGCGAACGTGAGGCGCAGCTCCCGAGCCTAGCCTCACAAAAGTCATACTCGGGCTTTTTTACTTTAAGGAACCGTTAAGAAGGAAATTTCAGTGCTTTTCTTTAAATATTAGCAAGCTTGCGTATTGAACTTGGAATTTGGATTCCCAAACAATCCTCTAAGGGATACATACGATCACTTTCGTTCATCCGGTCTGCGCCGCGAAACCTTGATCTTTTGGGCAAATATCATCTCGAAATAGCTACCTTGGCACATCATCCCAGACACACGATCATTTATGCGCGAAGTGACAGGGCATGCATGATTAGTGATATCTGTCTAGATGGATGCAAGTTTTCATACAGAATTCGTCGTCTGTGCTCTCTGGTGGGCCCTGTAGAGGGGGAAAATAATCAGATTCCAACTACAATGCCACAACAGATTCATGTATAGAATCCATATAGAAGTTGTCATTTCTCATAGATACACATTCCTTCATACGTCCATCGCTCTATTTCACGAAGCCCTACTTCATGTCGCATAATGGCCCTCTCGCTGCTTCGGATTCCGTCATTCCCGCCTTACACAGGGCCACACAATGTTGGCACTTCCGAGCTTGAGATCCCCGTGTCAGCTCTTGAATCACCAGCCCCTACCCCGGAATCAGATATTCCTCTTTCTACAATTCTATTCCGGGTATTCTACCCTGCGGACCATGTAGGACAGCCATCGAAACCCGTGTACTGGATCCCAGAGCCGCAGGGCGTCTTTACTAGAGCATTGGGGGAGTTCGTAGGCTTTCCAAAGCGACTCTCATCAATTTTAGCGTACGCTGAGCCAATCCGGCCCCTGTCATATTCTGTTCACATTCTCCAACCTTTGTATCACTTGCAAAGCCCTGTTTGGCGTATTTTACTGACTTTTCAAATATATCAGGCTTCTTCCAAACATGATTAGATGGACAAAGATACCAGCCCATCAAAATGCACCCCTGAAACCATCAACACTCCAGTCAAAGCGTTGGCCCGTAATGGTTTTCTCCCACGGACTGGGGGGCTCCAGAAATACGTACAGCTATCTTTTGGGGTGTTTGTCGAGCTACGGAATGATCGTCATTGCTCCAGAACACCGGGACGGAAGCAGCCACATCTCCTTTATTAGAGATTCCAGCGGACAGAATACTGAAAGAGTTCCGTTCCAACAGATGAAACATATGTTCGATGAAGAAATCCTCCGGAGACGACATGCCCAGCTGAGGATCCGGCTGTGGGAATTCGGTCTTGTGCACGATGCGCTTCTGAAGCTAGATGCTGGAGCAAAGATCGGAAACCTGATCGACGATAACAGTACGAATGGCCCAGTATTCACTTCCAGCCTGGATGTCCGTTCTCCAAGCAGCATTACGTGGGCAGGTCACTCATTTGGGGCAGCAAGTGTTGTCCAATTTGTCAAGTCCATATATTGGGGCCGTGTCAGTAAAATCGACCCAGCATCGAGTGCAGCAGAACCATACTTCTCACAGTATCGACCCTTATACGAACCACAATCAGACAGCAAGATCGTTTCACAAATTACACCAACCTCACCTCTTGTTCTGCTCGATCTCTGGAACCTTCCGCTACTGGGGGATGATGTGAAATGGCTTTGGGAGAAGCCGCTGCCCTGCTACACTGCCGACTCTACCAAGGGCCAGCACCAGGCTGCAAACGTTTTGGCTATCATGAGTGACGAGTTCTTCAAATGGGCAGCTGGTCTCAAGGCAACTCGATTCACATTATCGAATCGCCCGGTTCCTGGATCTCCTGAACCTGATCCTGTCGTCAGTAGCAAACGACAACCCAGGGTCTTTTATGCTGTCAAGTCAGCCCATATGAGTCAATCAGATGCTGGTGTCCTATTCCCTTGGGCAATGAAGCGATGGGTCAATGCTGAGGAACCGGAGCGAACGATGCAACTGAATGTAACTGCAATTATTCAAATGCTGAGAGAATGCGCTGTCCCGTTTGACCTGGATGAAGGTGTTAAACATGCTTTGGAAAATGTAGCGGAAGTTACTGTTGACAACAATAATGGCAATGATGCCGGGAACCAGAATGTGGCTAACGGGAAAGAAACTGATTTCAGTCCGGGTATTTTTGCAACAGATGGATCGATTCGCGGCTGGCTGCCTGTTCCTCTGACTGACGATAGCCAACCTGTTCAGGAATTTGAGGTGCGGACACCGCCCAAGCTTTGAATAGATTAAGAGTTGTTTGGAGTGATATTTTTCTCTTTGTTGAAAAGAATTCTTACCTGGAATGCATGACTCCTTATTTTCTGCCACGAGTTTGAAGTCGGCCTGTCAAAATCTGGGTATGCTATAACTAGAGAGCAATAAATTGAGTCTAACAGTCAATTCCAGAGATTACCATCCAGTAGTCGCTTGCGATTCGAGGTTATACGGGGTGCATATCGTTCGTATGGGGAGGTGCGTGACTTTGTTAAAGTTAACGACGCAGAAGTAGGCTTGGAGCAGCAAGAATACCATCAACTATCAATTTGGTACTGGTGGCTCTGGGTATACTTCGTAATGTCATGGGTAGGAAGTCATTTGTGGTCTTGAGTGTTGTTTGACGTGTATCTCGACCAATACATTAGGATCGGCCCAATCATTGGAGAGGAATTCGGAGTCCCAATTGATCCTTGGCCGTGCCCCAGGACTGCGGAAGTGCGATGTGGTTGCTGCACTTGCTGCGTCATTTATGGTAATCTGATTTTGCTTCCTCTTTGCTTTCACTTTTTGCTATTGGAGGATGAGTGCTCAAGGCGCACTTGTTGCTCCTTGATTCCGTGCTGTTTATTCAAATACATATAAATTATTTGACCATAGACTAAGATTGATAGAGCAAAATTGTTTGTAGCTTGAGATATAAAACAGAACCGTGGCGACTATTTATAATCTTGCAATATTTTCCTTAATGCTCACTCGCTAACTTGAACCTCGTATTTCCAAGTATTCATCAAGGTGCTTCTACCCTTTCACCGCGCATTAACATTATATCTCATATTAACCAGTAATTATTGATACAGACTCGAGGGTGTGCTCCATGTCCCATTTACTTTAGATCTGGCCTTGTACTGCTGCCCAACCTTGGGTCAGTTAATGCGACTTTGCAGAGAAATAGATAAGTCCTATGATCCGGAGGTTTAAGTTAAAATTGATTGCTTGAAGAGAGTTGATGGGCACTTTCTAGATGATATCTGATTTTCGGATATTTGGCCGTGAAGGAGCATATTGAAACTCAGTGCAATAATAATCATGAGTATTCGAGAACTTCCAGACAAATGTTTATCAATCTAAACTAACTAACCAGCTCCCACAGAGTTAATTAAATATATCTCCTCCATCCCGGGTGCTGTAACTTCGACTGAAACTAACAGACCTGCTGGTGCCGCATATATGAACAATGGATAAGAGAACGGATCTGAGGAAGTTGAGAGAGGATAATATATCCAGACATAAAATTGGTGCAGTAATAACGAATATATTTGTGTAGTTAATCATTATCAAATCTACTATATTAAAGCGAGGTTTGACCCGAAATTCCAGTGTATAGTTAACTAGAACTCGGAAGCATTCGATAGTTAATACATTAACTAGTTATTCCATCCCACAAAATTGACCCGAATACTCCCGGTTACCAAATTATGCCAGATATAACACTGGATTACTTGGAAGTTCTATGAAAAAAGGTGTAAACCAATATCCACGGATTACTACGTTACAGAGTACTCTGTGCCTCCAACTTGAATGAATTCGAGAGCGCCCGGTTCCACACGTTAGCTGATATGGGCATCTTCGGTAGTTACTTGAGCTACGTTATCGGTTGGATTCGTCTCGTGTTTACCGAGTGCCTTGGGAATCAAAGGTTCTGGTACTCCAGTCACGGAGCTTCGATCTATTGCGCGAACCAGACTCCGTTAAACTTCAGAATTTTGTTTAGCGCCTTACTCCGCCAGGGGTTTTCAGGTTTATTTGTATAAATGTATTCCCCGAGGTTACAGCCGCAGTTAGATGTAATAACCTACCTTGGGGGAAAGGCTACGGAGTACAATTCCATGAATTAATTTTTCCATTCTTAAAAGACCGTGTCAGCACGAGAAAGAAACGGCTACAAAGACTGCCCACTTGATTGAAGATACATGCAGGCAGTATTCCTCTTCCCCGTTGTTCATATACTACATAGAAACCTCAGCATCATTAAAATCAGCAACTTTCTGAGACTTGCTTAAGCGCCTGTACCCGACGCACTGTTAATAACAGTTAAGGGCAATACTTTCGTTGCAGGAAAAGACAATTTCAAATCAAAAAGCTTTGTGTGTGTGATAATGAAGGGGAAATAAATAAGGGCTAAGTGAACGAAACAATTGACGTCACCAAAGGCTCCCCTCCAAATTATCCCACTAAACCTGGCCCCGTAACCCCTTCCCGCCCCCGTTAACAGAGAGCTCGTAAATACATCCGATGTTGAGCCCCCAAGTGACAGCAGAAGACCAAAGACCAAAAGAAAAGAAATGGGGGAAAATTTCATAATCTTCAATGGAAGGTTTGTTGGTGCTCCGAAATCACATGTTCTTTTGCTGAGATTCACCACAATTAGAAGATTTGTTATGATCAGTATAGAACTTCTGCTTCAAAACGCCACGCCCTAAGAGCCCGAGTTGCTCAATTCCAAAAAAAAAAAAAATACAAAATAAAAAATACAAAATTTAAATAATGCAACGAAAGTGAAGAGAAATAGAGAAATTAGGGAGGAAAGCATCACGTAACGGTTAGCTAAAGAACCCGCGAAGTCCTAGAACTAGAACATAATCAACGTAAACATCGATGAAAAATTTCCCAGATATATCAGGTGTGCCAGGCCTGTTTCTAGACCACTCCCAAATGGGCGTATTCTATCACCGAACATTTTTTCAAATGCACAAGATTGTCAACATAAAAGAGTTCTTCAACCCTCATTTTCCATTCAGTGGTGCCGCTCATGGAGATAGACAATAGTAGTCCAACCCGCACAACAAATCTTAACCATCCGATGTGCACACCAACAGCATGTCACCGTGAAATTATTGGAAGAGGAAGAGCTGGAAGATGACGGCCGAGAGCCACGTGGCGATTTATTATCCATCGCAACATTGTTATTGGAAGCGCCTGAGCTCGTTTCGGTAACCGTGCTGCTACTGCCACCACCTTGAGCAGATAATGCACCACTTGCCATAGGAACCTGCTGCTGGTAACGGGAGCTGTATTGATCATCGCCAAAAAGGGGATCAGTGGCGGGTACGCCGTGGGGGAAAGCAAGTTTGGCATATACGTCCGAAGGCATGTCGTGCCAATATTTGCACTGGCAGCAGATCACGAACATTTTTGCGACGGGTGTTCCCTTCCGCGCGGGTCGTTGAGCTGCAGCTCGACTGCCCCCAACACTGCTGGCAAGGCTTTGTCGACTGGATGAGCCCAGGCGGGCGTCATATATTGGTCCCGTTGTCGTTTGTGTTTGGTTTTCGAGGGTTGTGTAGGAAGGGAAATCGCTGGGTGCCATTGGGTTTATTTTTGGGTGCTTTGAGGTGTGGAGTGAGGAGATTGTTGGTGTAGATTTTCTGCTTGATAGTGCAGGGGAGGGTTGACTGGAGGAGGGTCTACTGCTATTGTGTCTCACTGTACGTGAATCAAGAGGCAGTTGACTTTTGGGTATTTCTATGGAAATGGAGTGCTTCTTTTGGGGCCGGGTTTCGATTCCATCACTGGTAGTACTAGGGAGTTCTACGGAACTAGTGAATTTTCGGTGAGAACTGGTAGGGAATCTTCCATTATTGCGCTTAGAGGATTTTGGTGGGATTTGGAAATCATTATTCGTGGGGTTTTCCAACAGGGAGACAGATTTGTTATGGCAGATGTCTGCACTTGCGGGTGGCGTATCATCCACTGAGTTTGGAGACTTGGCAGCAGCCTTGCCATCCTCGTCTTTCGGTTTCGGCGGCTCTGTTGATGTAGTCATTGGCGCCGACTTTTCTTTCCCTTTACCAGAAGTCACCGCCTTTCCTGGCTTCTTTGTGCTACGAGAGTCAAAGACACCTGGGGTTTGATCTTTTTTGCTGGTATGTCCTAACAGCCTTGTGAAAAAAAGCAGAGATTTACCGTTTGAAATCTCTAACTGCTGAGGAGCAGCAACAGGGGATATAACAGATGGAAAACTTTTGCACTTAGATATTTGTCCTGATTGAGCAGATGCCTCATCTTCTTGGGTATTGAGAGGCGGAGCAGCTAACGGGGATGACTTGAATTGGGAATCACTATTTAGTGGTTTGGATACCAATCGTATAGTATTCTCAGGTCGTCTGATATTTGGAGTGTTGACCGACGGCTCCAGAGACGGGCTGTCGGTGACTGGTGTTGTCTCCTGGATTAGGGTATGCTCGGGAGAAAGTTTCGCTTGTGTAATGTCTTGGTTGGAGTCAGTTTGCGGCTGCACCTGCGCCAAATCACTAACAGCATTTTTAGTTTTGGTGCTGACAAGTCCATTCTCCTCCTTGATCGGATTTGTTAGCTTGAAAATAGGGCTTGCGAAAATATCGTCAATGGAATAGGCAGATTCATATGGTCCACTAGTTTTAAATTCGGATACTTCCCCGTTCGGCATTTTCTGGGCTGGTTCCAAAGATTGAACACGACATTTGAGAGTGACACTAGAACCACGATTAGAGCTTTTAAATATTTCACTCCATGATGGCCTTCGTCCGTGTCCACGCTGATTACCAGCGCTGTTTTTTATAGCCTTTTGAGGTCTTGAAGGGGGTTTTGAAGCGGGTTTTTTGACCGCATCCTTTGGGGCGTTCTTTGTTAAACTTGCTTCACTGTTCTGTTGGTTGGTAATATCTTTCAATGTATAAATGCTCTCAGCAGACTTAAAAACGGTACTTTGTGAATCATTTTGCAAACTTGGAGATAGGCATTCCAACGCAGTCGGAGATAGACAACATTCAGTTGTGGAAGGTGTGCTATTCTCAAGTTGTCCGGATGATTTCGTGTCGTTCCCGTTCTTATCAGAAGGACCTCGACGCAAAGAATACATGTGTGGTTCGTGTTCTGCTTTGAGAGATTTGCGTCGAAGCTTCTTTCCGCCCCCAACTGACAGTTGGCGATTAACTTCCTTACTCCAAGATGTCTTAGAAGTTGCTGATTCGATGGGTTGGGAGCCAGAACCATTGAGTCGAAAGAAGTTTGCAGCAGCGCGTAAATCCGCATGCTTTTTGGTTGCGTGGAGTTGACGGCCTGGAATATCTGATGGATTCGAAGGCATGGATTGTGGAGGGACAGAATTTAAATCACCGGAGGGATCATTATTATTTGCTGCAACCTGGGTCGTCTTCATCCCAAAACGATATGGCCAGTGACCTGTAAATATGGGTTTCATGGTTTCCAATGAAGTACGCACTGGCTCGGCACCTGTCGGTGGAGGGGCTGAATGGCCAGTGTCAGGTTCGTTTGTGGAATTAGCTTTTGATGCGCTATTGGACCAAAATGCCAAAACTGACGGAGCCGTAGAGGAGCGTGGAAGATAGCTCTTTATGCTTGAGGATCGACTGGGCGTATTGGATGGTGGCTTCTTTGTTAAACGTCGAGGCTCTCTGACTGAGCCTTGATCAGTATTCCTTGATTCAAGTTTCAAAAACCGTTCCAACTCTTTCTTTTCTCTGGCCAGTCTTTTTAATTCCCTCTTCTTTTCTCTTCTCTCCTTGTCTGTTGCCCATGACGGCGAAACGCAGATTTCAGACCTTCCGTCTAATTGGGAGAGTTTAGTGGCTGCATTGGTAGGGTGTGTTAACTCCCGTGGAGATTTGCTCGCTTCAGCAGTGTTAGCCTCGGCGGCCTCAAGATGTATGTCCTGATTTTGGTGGTCAGCATCCATTTTTGAGCCTGCTAGCCCCCCCAGTAGATAGTTGAAGATTATACTTCAAAACAGGGTTGCAATTTCAAGATTCTGTTTTTCTTTTGAGTTTTTTATGGAATACAAATGTTTGAAGCCTGTGCAGCTTGTCACGCTGCAAGAAACCTATTTCGACTCACCTTATAATCTGTGACTGCTGATGGTGGCTCGACCGTAAGGAGAGACTTCAAGGGCTCCGTATGGTCTTGCTCGCATACCAAACCAGGCATGGTTCCGATTTCATAAGATTCACAGTCACGTATTGCACTCCGTGAAATGCAAATGTTATCAAGATCGCCGGCCCAGCGGTGAGTTCAGATGGACGTGGCAGAGTAACTTTCTCACCCTCAATCCTCAATCCACTACACTAGAACGCAGAGATCACCCCAAGCTGTACATATGCGAATGACTGGGCTGCTGTCAAGGGTTCTCAGGGGAGGATGGATTCGAGGTCTTGAACCTGCGCACTACCAACTGGTTTGGGTTGGGTAGGGTCGCGTGATGCACGGTTGCTTGAGGACAAAACAGAATGACTGAAGATACAAATGAAAACAACGAGATAAACAAAGTGAGAAAAATAAAAACAAACTGCTTACAAAGTAATAGATCAGTGAATAGTTAAAGATGATGGTTATGACATAAGAAGAAAACAATCATAAAAGATGAGAATTGAAATCACTGACAACATTGATTAATGACTCCGTTTCATAGTCACTTTCTCTGTCAGATGAAACGAAACAAATCAAACAATATGAAAAAAAGAAAGAGAAATGGAAAAAAGAATATCATGAAATACGGCATAAAGCTTCCGTCTACCCAAATCAAAGATGATGATCTGAAAAGCTCTGAAGTTATGATCAAAACTAAGCAATAACAAGAATGATGATATATGCCATGCATGAAGTGATCAACACAGAAATTCTGGGGAGGTTGGTTGGTATGCGTGCTGAAGAAGCCAGGATACCCGATGAGAAAGAAGAAGAAGAAAAATAAGAAAAAAAAAAGGATCCACACTACGATCTCAAAACGGTGCGAAGGAGCGAACAAATAGCCCCGCAGAAGGGCCTCGTTCAACTTCTGGCGGGTGCGGCAGATATGGGATATCCGGGACGGTGGAGAACTGGAAGAATCGATGAATTGGAAAAACCGGCGAAGCGAGCGACAATAGCGATTAAAAAATGTGTTTGAAGCTCAGCGTGGAATACATAACCCTATGTTGTTCCTTGTTTTTTATTTTTTTTATTTTTATTTTTTTTATTTTTGAATACGCCTCAGCTGGACAGCGAGAATTAAGAGGTCACGATTTCAGTGGCGTCAGATCGGGTTTTCTCTTTCGATTTTCTAGTTCCGCGCTGGAGGTTCTCTCCCCTCAGATTCCCAAATTACTTGCGTACGCACCACTAAACTAATAACTAGCCTCTTATAGTTAACCACCCCGTACTTCGGAACTGTAGAACAGCTGAATGAAGTACCCATGAAAGAACACCAGAGAAGTCACATGCTGGGGCGCAAATATGTCTCAGTGTTTAGAGGGCCTAGAAGGCTTGACAAGCAATGAGAATAGAAACGCGCAGCGCAGAAGAGATGTTCAGTCAAACCCGGGTTTCCTGGAAGATGAAATCCATGAATCCACGAGATGCGCTTTTATTGGACGCGGCAATGGATAGCTGAGTTGAGGCCAACCTGTGGGTGGACAGGGTCGCCCCGGACAGGTTGCAAAGATCGATATCCGGTCCACGGATACTATGTATCACCCTTATCCGCCCATCGTAGCACTCGGATAATTTATGTACAAGCACGGCGCACAGAGTCGTCTATCTCATGTGCTGGGTAAAACGGAGGATGTGGAAACAGGACTAATCAACGCGTCTCCGCTGAAAGTGGGCAAAATATGGAATATGTTATGATACCAGCCATTTGGGAGTCCTGGATTCTAGTTAACTGTACTCAATTTCCGCAGATTGGAGGGTGAAGGAATGAAGGAAGCCTTTGCCGAAAGCATGATGAAACATGAAACTTAATGAGAATGAAAACTCTGTTTTTTTTAAACTTGCTGAAACAAACATAGAAGAAAGCGACCATCGAGATACAGGATTCCTGGGAGTGGTACGGAAAAGTTGCATGTTTGATATAGGGAATTCAAGGATTGTACATGTTTGTATACTGTTGGGCAATGTTCTCCACCTAGGTAGTATTACATACCTTGGATATTTATCTGAGAATGCCGCTCCTCGAATCCCACGGTTCCGTTTTCGTGCGTAACTGTGTAACTCGCCCACCTGAGCTTTGCGGGCCCTCAGTCAAGGCCCTCCCTACCACTCAAGGGCTCAACGCCCCAAGAGTCCCCCAAAGCCGATAAACGGCCGTCTGTGCAAGCTCTATGTTACAAGTAGCTAGTTACTGTTATGGGGCTGCATATCCCCAATGTTACTCAGTTTCGTGAGAAAATGTCGGATTTCTATAGATTCTCCAGTTCCTTTCCGTAGAGAGTTCTCTCCGAACAGCTACACAAGAATCCCCTTTCTTTGCACATGTCATCCAATCAGTTACCACCGTCTTGCTGGCATGTGTGTGCATAAAGTGAAATATAGGAGTTAATCCACATTTAACTAGAATTTTAACCTTATTCCAGTTGAATTCGCAGGTATTTAGGTATCACAGCCTAAGATTCAGAATCCACCTAATTAATATTTGTGACAGCCTTCACCCCCAAGGAAAAATGGGAAAATGGGACTGCGAGATTGCGTTCAGCACTCCCGCTGCCTTGTCCCACAATAATGGGCCCCAAAATCATTGCCACGGAGTAACAAGGGGAGGAGAAACGCTGTGGAGTAGTTTTACTTCACACAGGTCTGGTAAGCTCATGGAATCCAGGAAGCAACCAGAAATATTACTGTTGTGTTTGCCTTGGTTCCTCTCTAACTAGCGACTGAAAGTGCATATTAATTGAAGATCCAGAACCCAGTGATGTCGCTTCCACAGTAATTAACCACATTCGCTTGGCTCGGCTTGGCTTACCGTGTCATACACCCTCAATCCCTTCAACTTCAACCTTCAAAACATCGTCGACATAAATACCCCTTGACGTCCTTTCCCCCTTTCTACCCCTGAATTTATTGCACTAACAGTTTCCTTGTCTGCTCTATCTCTTTTTCAAACCATCGGTCCTTTGACCATCTTCGCTTTAGCGTTGTCATAGAATCTCCCACACCTTACCGCTACGACGATCCTCCATCATTAGGTCTAATGCTCGTGAGGACTCCCTAAATCCGAAGTCAGGCGGTAATCTCAATCGCAATCCTATCTCCTCCATAGCAAACTTTCCCGTTCAAAATAACGACTCCAGCGATGGTATCGATGGGCACATTAGTTTCCAACGTGACGCGAAATATTCGACTGCAGAAACAGCCTATTCAGCTGCTGCCTCATCGGAGAACAACTGAGGCAATAAGAAATTAGGTCCCTCCATAGAATCCGAAGCCAAAGAGCCGATAATAACTCGAATATATACTACCATCCACTTGATCATATTCTCAAGCTGAGTCAGCTGGGAGCTCGTTTTTTCTGCCTTGTTGGAATTACCCTGAATGCCATGATCTCAGCATGGCGGATAAGAATTCCCAACTGTGGTATTCTCCATAAATGCAGTTGCCATTGTGCTTCTGGCATCACTTCTTAGTTTTGCAACGGGAGAATGTTCCTCAGAACTTAGGAGACATAATTGGAGCGCTGTTAAATGTTACTTCGGATATGCTGTGGAATTGATTATATTACGGACAATTCCTTCATCCGCTTACCCTTCTTTCATATTCAGTTTAGTATTTCTGTTTTAATATATATATTGGTTATCTCTCAACAGATAAACCCCCGCCTGTATCCTCTTCATCCTACTTCAAACCCTCACTTCGCCTCTCACGTTAACTTTGTCAACCCCAAGCTTCGCCGCCAATATATCATTCCGATCACACTCCAATCTCTCCCGAGTCATCTTGTACAATCGTGGAATTCCCGTCTTTTCAAACGGCAAGTCTCCATTCCCTTCATCATTACGGATCATCTTGGCGATTCCCTTTGCAGTAAGGAACGCCATGGGCATGCCGTGACCACTGAAACCGGCTAAGATATACTGATTTGGTTTGCCTGGTATGGGTCCCACGTGCGGGAGGAGATCTGTAGAGAAGCCCATTACTATTCATTCCATTACGTCAGCAAAGAGTATAGATAGCTTATGCATTTAGGATGTTTGTACTCCAATCTGCATTCTTCTTTATGCAATGCCGGGCTATATTGACAACCATGATTCTTCAATCTCATTCATTTCAAACTTACCTCCAGACCACACCTGTTCTGTATAAGCATCACTATCTTCCCACCAATAAAGTGGTGCTGCATGTATCCGTCAAAATAGTTTTTGGCAGATTGTATAGGCTCTCTGTCATCGGTATTGTTATACCAACTCTCCAGATCGGAGACATAGTCCTTCCTTCCACCTCCTACAATGATACTACCATCTGGCTGTGGAATCAAATAGTCATACTTCTCAGCCCCCCACTGCAGACTGTACGTGTTGGGTAAGTAAGGAGGGTGCTTCTTTTCAGGGGTAACGATGCGGCTGCATATTGAGGTGCGATAGCTGCGGTATACGCATTCGTGGCGAGGATTACTTTCTTTGCATTGATGGAGCCCCGTGATTCGGTAACTACGGTCCACGCCCCTGTGACTGGATCTGGCGTTTCGGAGATTTCGGTGACGGCCGTGTTGGTTTGCAGGTTCACGCTGCTGGAGCCGCGGGAGGTTAGGGTGGAAAGGAGGTGTAGGACGAATTTATATGGCCAGATATGTGCGGCTGTGTAGTGGAAACAACCTTTGGCCAATTTGACGCCAGATATCTAGGCAGTTAGAATTTTTAGATATTGAGGTACTTGATTTTCTCAATCGGGAGGGGCGGAGAGTGTTTATGATATTTAGCACTTTCCAAAGAGGGTGTTCCGAACGAACCCTTTCTGCATCCTTTGATGTGTACTGCACATCCTGTCTGAGGGGAATTCCTAATTTCAGGAGCTCCTTATATGCTCTTGCAATCTCCTCACAATGGTCCTCTCGAAGAAGCACCTCAAAACTCCTTGTCAACGTGAAATCACAATCAATCCCTTCTTTTCTAATCACCTCTCCAATCGCCGGTATATGATCGGCCTCGAAATTAGACAGTTCGATCGCAGCTTCAAGTCCATGTTTTTTTGCATGTGTTATTATGGGAAGAAAACGGTTGGGCCGCAAATGCCCGCCTAAAAAATCGTGTATAAGATTTATCGAACGGATAAAAACAAAAGAGACAGATTTTCCCCATCTCTTGTTTGGGTATTGATATCTAAACATATTTAAAATTTAAAAGACTTGCCATTTCGGCCCGTGGCTCCAAAGCAGGCCTGACGGGCTTCAAGAATTACTACAATGGGCGGTGATGGATTATCATGTAGAAGGTGATACGCGGTAGAGACGCCTGCGTACCCAGCTCCTATTATCAGGACATCACATTCGCTCGGGAGACTTTCAGTTGAGCGGTGATTCTCTAGGGCATCTAGCTCTGTATGCCAGAACGAGCGCATACCATTGGGTTGTGGGAATGATTTAGAAGTTGAAGGAACCATGTTATGATCTCTTTCGAATAGCGTTCTAGGAACTATGTCACCCGAGTTCTGGATTGGAATAATTTTGGGGGTAGTTGCTTATGTATCTTTGCAAGACGTGTTGCACAACCGAAACTAACATCAAACAGTTGATTACAAACAGTATGACAGAATGGCAAACTTGATCGACTGCAAAGATTGCTAAACAACGAGAACGACTATACGGTGGAATACGGGTCACGTGATGGAAGGGTCCGAAACAAAAAAGGATCTCCAATAACTATGTAAGAAAAATGGAAAGAAAGGGGGAGAAAGCCCTAAAACCTTGTTAAAATTTTTTGTTTGGCGCATCGACTCACGGCTGTGGATTCACTGGGCCGATTATCGAAAAAGAAAATGGGATATCGAGCAGTACGTCGGGTTGCCTTAGTGATAGTATCAATGTTGGGGCATAAGAATAACGGCAAAGTAGCATGTCCGCGGTGGATTCCAGAGGGCATTGCTTCTATCACTGTAGCTGACAAATTGGGGACAAGATTCATTCTTCAATCACTAATCTGGAAATATTGGGGCTCTGATTGCCTGATTTACATGAGGAATTGAATGTGGTTTTACACATTGGAATAGGAAGGGGAAACAATTTGCATGTCTAACTGTCATCACTGTTGTTGATGGCTGATTAATTCCTTTGTTCAGGGGGTGAATACACCTCCAGGGAGGAAAGCAAGATATCGGAGAGAACTAAGCAAGACCCGACTCGATAAAACATTTATACCAGGAACCCAAGAAAATGAATTCTGAAAGTGCAGATTTGGTGATTGTTGGAGCCGTTGAGGCAAAGTCTTCAACTTTGAAATTCAATTCAATACACTTCCACTCACACTTCTCCCTGACGCCCTTCTAAGTAAATTTGATATTAGAAAATAGGGATAATTTTCTGAAAACCCAATACCTCACTTGTATATGGGCTACTTATGATAAACACTTATCTAGACGTTTCCCCATCAAAAAAGATTGTTCTCCTAGACGCACCATCATCTATAGGTAGGGTATGAGCGCAAGAACGGTTGTATTCTGGACTGTTCTCAAATAATTAGCTTAGCTGGAACATACGAATTCAATGATTTCCCTATGGATCCTGAGGCGCTTGGGGTTTCACATGATGAACGTATATCGGAAGGATCTGTATACAGATCCCTACGAGCATACGTTGAGTACAGTGTATACTCGAAAATCCGATCTAAGTCAAAACGGTCAAGAAAAGGATTAACGGGAAATTTGGCTCCTTAACTATGGGAACGACATCTCGGCTGAGCAAGAAGACATATTCTTAACAAAAAATTGATTATTGAAACGGGAATTAATAACAAACCCAGCCTCCGTAGCTCAGAGGGTCAGATTCTTTTGGGGTTCCGCTATTCCACTTCAAAAATTTGAAAGCGCAGCCAAAGACGCTCGATTCTGCTAGCAGCGTTGTTGTTTTGGTGCATCCCAGTCTCGACAAGACGTCGCATATCTAGATGCATCATCCGATATCATGGTAGACTTGTTATCCACTCTTCTGGAACTGGTCAAATTTGGATGTTGTCATGATTTGTTACTCCTTTCAGCATCTGTGTTGAAATTTTGGTGAATACACGCCTTTTGTCATGGTTTAGTCCATGCTCCTGGGGAGATGTCGATGGACGTAGCAAAATCAGTAGACTTATTCATAAGACGGCATCTGGTAGATGGTTGGAAGACTGTTATGGTTAATTTTAGAGGCCATCGTCTTTCCATTACTTAATATGCTCAGCATTCGAAAACCAAGAAGCTGAAACCTTGGAAAAACGGATTCCAGTCAGGTGCTAGATTTGGAATTTTGAAGAATCCCACTGACTTCTTCGACTTTGTGTATAAAGAAAAGATCCAAATTTATATCTTAGATATATCCAATCTTTCTTCTAAAACCTTCCACTTAACCACCGGAGAGTCACTTACCACAGATGCCCTTAACTACTCAGCTGGCTTGACCTCTCTTACCAACCACTAAAATTCTCCCTGAGAAATTGACTCTCAGTCTGGGCTTCCACATGCAGCTTCTGGACCCGATAAACTGGCCGTGAAAGGAGAAAGAGTAATTATCAGCCAATTCCCACGGGTTCAAGAGCAAACAGTGTCTTTAAATCCACAGAGTGGGGTTAGGAGAAATATACGCAACTATTCGGCTTCAGGGGCCATGCTCCCGCTGTTCCGTCTCTATCATGAAAGATAGAAGCATCGCGTTTGCTGGTATGTTCTCGAAACTTAACAATCCTTACTTTCTCTCAAGCTATGGTTGATGGCATATTTCAAGAGCAAATTACCGCTTGATACAACCAACGCCTTTTCCCTGTATGACATCGAACGGGAAGCCACATTACACAGCGAGTTTGCGAAGTGGAAATTTCCATATCAGAATCGGCTGCACCTCTAGGTTTACGTTTGACCTCATTCCGTACGTCGACCGGGAACTCGGAGATTTGGAACTCTAGATACAGTTTCAAGAACGGAATACTTGCCGAGATTTTCAAACCTTACAACTCTGAAGACGACAGGGGCCTCGTTTGCGAGTGAAAGAAGAATTAAATTGGTTGAGATGGTCTTGTAGAAGAGAGATGAAGTCATTACCATTAGTAGGGTGGTCGAACAACAATTTCTGGGTTAATTAACTACGTCCTATTGCTGAGGTAATGGTCATTGACCAAGGGTTTGAGGCAATTTAGACTTCAGCATCAAACCATGGTTAAGATTATTAAGCTTAATATGGACCCACAACTTTATTTGGACATCCACCCATCAACAAATGACATCACCGACAGGCTCAGCCACGACACCGCGCCTAAAATCTCTACCATTAAATGCGGAGAAGTTATCTTAAAAGTTCCACAAATTATTAAATTGGAATTCCTGAGCATTCATCGGAATTTCTTCAATATTGATATTTGCATTATACCCTTAATCAAATCTTATTCAGTTTTGAAAAAGAGTAAGCAAGGCAGCTTTTCTCATTCTTCTTCAAGTTCTGCCTAACCTTTCTTCAGGATTATTCTTCATTCCATCCCTGCCTGTTGGATTTCAAAAGGAGGATTCACGTATTATATTGTGTCTTCCGGAGGCCATCTCTTCAATTTCGCCTTGGTTTTACTATTTTGTTGCGGTACATATATGTTTAAATAACGGGAAGCAATTCTATACGCAAAAGCATCCTCCAGTTGTGTTTTATATATTCATGACGGAGGAAACATCTCAAGGTTAACTCCCTTCGTTTCATATTCTATCCACATATCCTGTGATAATGGCATTTCCTTGCTGCGGAAAGGACGATCGAGACGAAATCATTGCTCCTAGCCGACCTGTCGACATCAACAACATTTCTTCTCGAAACAAGAAAAAGGTTATCAGCCCAGCGGCTCCTTACCAAGCAGATATGCACCAAGCTATCACCAATCCATCAGCTCTATCTACAGGTGATGAAAAATGCCGTGTCTTTGGATACGCTGAGATGAATGCCTCGGGGCCCAGCAGCCACACTGTGATACCTGAAGCAACGGAAAATCAACGTCCAGAACCTGTCCTTCCTGAAACTTCCGGGCGTCCACCTGGTTATCAAGACGGAAATCACGGTCAAAAACCCAAGGCGCCGTCCGACAATCCGCCGCCCTATCACAACTGGGAGGAAGCTGTCCCAGACACAGCTATGTTTCCCCCTCCCCCGGTTGGAGGCTACCTATATTCCAATACGGGAAATGCATCCGCAGAAGATGCAGATCGAGCACATAACTTCTGTGATAATACCCCGCTATGGACCCCATATACACCTTCTGACGTTATCTATAGCGCTGTTCAAAATTTTGACCTTAGACCAGTCAGACCCCAAGAATACAACGGTGAGTTAGAAGTCGCGGGAAGGGGAAGATGGAGTGGACATACCAAGGACCGTGGCGGAGACTGCATTCTGTTGACTAGTTTGCCGTTGTATTTTCCGGCGAAAGACTCTCCTCTAGCGACAGAACGAACAAAGATGATATACTTTGAGGCGAAATTCCTTGGCCAGGGCAATGGAATAAACGACCAAGTGAGTGGATTTTCCATCGGATTCGCGGCTCAACCATATCCAACTTGGCGATCACCCGGTTGGGAACGAGGCAGCGTGGGCGTCTTCTCAGATGACGGGTGCAGATTTGTAAACGATTCCTGGGGCGGGATGGAGTTCACCGCCCCATTCAAAATTGGCGAAGTAGTTGGATTAGGAATGAAATTTGCGTTGCCTTCTCCAGACTCGTTGGCCACTGCTCAAGCAAATGGTGCATCACCAACACTTCGGGTGGAGATATTCTTCACTCGAAATGGCAAAATTGAAGAGATCTGGGATCTACATGAGGAGGTCGATGAGGATGCGGGCGGTGTTGTGGGCCTGGAAGGCGATTATGATCTTTATGGTGCACTTGGATTGTTTGGTGGTGTCAAATTCGAGGTTTGCTTTGATTGCGCTGGATGGCTGTGGTTCCCTTCGACTTTATAGTCGCTGAAATGTATTTTCTTCGTTGATGCGACATGCTTTGCTCCGCTTATCCTTGACCCGGTTATGGCCTTCGTTTTGAATCCCCATTTTCTTTTCTTTTTCTTTTATTTTTCCCCTTTTTATTCTCCTTTTGCTTGAAATAAGTGCACAAATAAATACACATATCCATTTGTTCCAATTTCATCGGCATTCAACTGGCTGTTTTACTTTTCTCGTTTCTTGTTAGAAACTAGATTTTGTTTCTCCAGGCTTTGAGATGGGATTGGATGTGTGCTGCCATGAAACCACGCGATGAGATGTAAAGTCGCATTTGTTGTAGGAGATCCGGAGCGCGAAAACAATATTCCGACTTCCCTACGGAACGAAACGTGTTCAGAGAATATGCAAAAACGGGTATATAAGAAGAAAACTGCCGCCAACTGGTTTTATACATTATGAGGTGGGAGCTTGCAGTAACTACGCACTTGAATGCCAAATTGAAACCGCGTTTGAACTGAATACACCAACCCCTTCCACCAGGCCCGTTACAACCTGTATTATACAGGTCTCGTGGGCACAGGTCTGATACACTTGATGACTTTCGAAGTATCCATGTGTAAAATCATGCGGATATGTATGTGCTAGGAAATGGTGACCTTGTGCCACCATATTCTGCAGAAAGCATCGTTTTACATTATAGAAATCTAAATTGAAACGCTAATAAAGGCATTGCAGGGTAATCAGAACTACTTACCTGGGCACGATGAAGGAGAGCGACCCATAATCTCGGCTATTTATGATTAAAAGTCTTCACGATACTTAGGTGCAGCTTCAAGAGAAATAACAGACATATCCACTATATATGAGAAGCTGGGACCCTATTACATCAGACTTCTATTCCATAAGAAATCAGAGAACCTTCTTTTCGCATGCGGGAACGGAAACATGCCACGGAGAAGCATCTGGTGGAATTTGCCTTTCAATCCTTATGCATATGCAAGGTGAATATATATGGTTGGAAACATGATCGAGCGGCTATGTAGAGATCATATTGCCATGCACCCTTGTCCAGGATAACCATGGCTCTCTTTCTTACTAGGATTTACAACTTCTGAAACCATGAAATCATCGGCGAACTAAACCCGAGTCCGTCCGTGCGAACAGTCTGTAAAACCCTATTGGTTTCTCTTTCCACGGCTTGCAACGGTACGTCCCGTCAGATCGTCCTAGCAGCATAACATCCATAACCATTCAATCCCCGTCCACGCGTGATAATGGCGACCAAGCTTCCACCTGGGGCCCTGTGATACTCGTGGCCTTCCGGGGTTGCGTTTTCCAACCCGAAATCACTTCAGGGCCCGTGCGTGCAAACCTTGTGCCTGCATGTTTTCACTTTGCCCTGGCCCCTGGACAATAGGGTTCGACCGGAAGTATACGCAACGTTAATTTCGATACCGCGTAACGCCCCTTTGAAGGCCTAGCCTGATATAGGTCGGATCACCTAGGTTTCCGGAAATTCTCAAGGTGCTACTAGTCAGGCGCACCCATTGGTTGGCACGTCGTTTCAATTCCTAGGAGAATCTCACCTTTGTATTACCTGCCATCCAGTTTTCCTACTACCGGGAGTTATCGCCTTGAGGACGAGAATGGCAATTCCCAGAATACCAGCACAGGAAGCTCTTCGGGAATTCCCAGTGCCAAACCCTATTGGCTCATACTCGGATATAATGAAAGGAAGCGTTGATCCAACGATCTCACAGCCTCCTCAATGTCTAATTCCAGAATCACTATCGAAGCTCTTTCCTATTGACGTCTCCATTGTCTACAGAGAGCTGAGGCAAGTTGCAGAATAACCTGGCAATCCTTTCCACTTCCTGAACACCGTTGTCCAAGGGGCATTAATGAATATATATATATATATATACGTATATATAAATAAAATGAAATAAAATAAAATGCAAAGAAAGAAAAAGAAAAAAAATTAGAAAAAATTAGATGGAAATCCTTGTCGTTTGCAAATAGGCTTGGCCACCGCCCGATTCGCGGATTATCCTTTATATTTACTACACGCGACCTACCTTTCCATCCTCCGCGCAAATTATCTGCTACCACCCACTCTATCAAATGGCAGCAGACCTTTGTACTCCTCAAATGAGCGTGCACGAGTTCGAATATAACCTTTCAACTTATCAGCCAAAATAGTGTGGTTTATATCCGTCCAGCCTGTGATATGCTTCAAAAGCAATTTTAGGAGAAGGCCATTATATGCTGATCAGAATCTAGGGGCCTTGGTCGAATTACAATGGAAGGAATATAACCGTCCTCTGTTAATATGACCAACTTGCTAAACTTGTCGCAGGGCTATAATTGATATTTTTGGCATTACACCGGGTAGGGGAAACATGCTTAGCCTCCGCCAACGGAATGTGAGGGTTACAATATTTCCACAATGTCCACACGATATATTGACGTTAGCATGTATATACCGTACATGTACATGTACATATCTACATACATAAACGATATGCACTGTCATTAAAGCTGCTAAATAAATTCACTAGGTAAATACCTTCTCGATCCCTACTTGAGAAAAGGATCTTAGGTATATACAGATTTCAAAATTAACTAGACGAAATCATAACTCAATCCGTTTACGTTCTTGCAAAGCATCCATTCATATCCAGTGTGCCATCCCAAACAGCTTGAGGTAAAACAACACCTACAACAAAATCCATGACTTTGACGGTCAAAGGTAATAAACAAACATCCTTCCACCCAAGACTTGCATTAATGGAAAGGCATATAAGGTGCTTGTGTATGTACATATATATCAGTAAGTTTTTATATATGAAGGCTACTGTCGAAAATGACTAACTGTTAGAACAGGAGCCTCATCGCTGATATCTCGAATCTATTCAATAGCTAGCTATATCTGAATAAACCCTCATTTGACTGATAATATTTCTTGGCAGCCCAATCAATTCTCTGCAACTGATTCAACATCGTGAGGTCTCACAATTTGAAAATTAAATCACGTCGAGAACGTATGGGGATTGACCGAATGTTTTGAGAAGTCATGAATTATTATTGTGCTGTGCAATGAGCTGTGCAGCACAAAACGGGAGATATCGGCCCTAGCTATGCACTTTGTTGTCGAATTTCCACTTCTGAGCTTACCTTTTGGCAGTTAAAAGCCGGAAGATAAAAACTTTCCATCAATTCTTCTAAGTCCTTGGCTAAACGCTTCATACACGCATGGCCGAACCAGATTAAGTTACGCGGTATGCGCTGGGAGCTTCCTCACGCTTATATATGACTGCGGTTCCAACTGCTAACTGGAGGTTTTCTCAAATCACCCCTGGAGTTCTTCAGTGTATTCCAAATCCTCAAGCAGGGGCAAGAAACACAATACAAGCAAATGGACTCGCTAGTAGACAGCGCCCATAAATAATACATAGAAACGAATTCCTGCGTAATTCCCAATGGAGAAATTGTCGAATAAATATGGATGTCAGTTTGCTCAGCGTGGATGATACAGGTCATCCATGGATAGTTCAAATGATCCCGTCTTCTGCCAAGAAAAATTTAAAAAAAATTGGGAATTGAAAATACATACAAAGCTAAATAAAAATTACGGGCTGGTGAAATCCCTGCAAGCCATTATGACAAGTTTCATGATCGTTAATAAACCATGTGTAACAAAAGTCTTCTGTGTATCTAAAATCTTATCGTGATACACTCGAGAGAGAGGCGAAAAGATACGAGAATTTAATTCTGATTTAATTATTCCCAGCTTTTCGCACATCCAGGACATGCTCAGAGGTGTGTGCCTTTAGGACCTGAAACAATGAGCTTCAAATATCCCTGGACATCTTCGTCCTGGCCGAGAGTTAATACGTTCACCTGTTTTAGCGTCTCGGGGAGGAAGCGACCGTAGCTTCCGCGGGAAAAATCGGCGCCAGTCTAGGGAATTCTTCTAAAGATTTTCGGTTTAAACGCCCGTGGCAAGGAGAATGCTGTGGATGACAATACAGAATAAGAATGATGAAAATAATAGAACAGCTCTAATGACTATCCGTCCAGCACACCGCATGTTCAATCTCAAAGAACTGTTCGTTTTTGTGGTCGTTTCACGAATACCAAAACCAACTGATATTAACAACAAGCTTCAACCCAATCTACATACCCTCATTCTCATTCAGCATGGCGAGATATGGGGAATCAATGACCATGAGCGGTCGTGAAATGCAGCCCTTTTATCGCTCTTAAATCAAGCAATGACGGTCATAGAATCTCGAAATAGATATTGGCTGGAATATCTGTTAACTCCAACTGTAATCCAATTCTGATGAGGTAAATAGATTTCCAGAGGCGACCATGTGTAGGGAAAGATTTCTTGAAGCAGGATGCGATTGGAAAAATACAGAATTGGCGTTAGGAATTTAGCAAAGCGGTACGGCTCGTTCCCGTAGCCGAACGCTGGTTCTGTAGATCGGTCAATACTAGAACCCATTAGTGATTGGAAGCTGAGCCAGCCGGAAAACCTGATTGGGACAACCTGAAAATTACCGTGTCCAGAGGCACTGATACGTTCTAGACTTTCGAGATTACGACCCCTGTGCGGAGTTATTTCGCGACGTTTGTGCAAGTCAAAATGCCATGGTGGAACTCAGCAAGAATAATTACTCCGTAAACGTCATGGATTACGGGTTGGTTGCATAAAAGGACTCTTCTAGAAGCAGTAAGCATTTTGAATTCTTTCTCTTTGGAAAATAAATAATCAACTGCAAATTCCGTCAGCAACACCAAATGGATAATAAACGACCCGCAGTGTCTGATGTAGCCCACCTCTAAAATAGTGTTATTAAATCTCTTGCATACTGGAACCAATCTTGCTTCAAACCCCGAGGGTGAACATACACACATATATACCGAGTGTGTAGTTACTGATGTATGTACGAAATCGACAGACAGAACATTGGTAAGAACTGAGGCTGACCCGGAACTAACAGATAGTTAGCCCAACAATTCACTCTTAAATTAAAAGTGAGGGAACTTCAGTGTTGAGAGATACTTTGCAGGTTTTTTGAGCATCCGAGTTCAACAGACTATTTTAGTTATTGGGAACTCCGAGTTGGAATTTCCTTCGACATCGTTGGACAGGGAAATTGCTTGAAGTAACATTCCTTGATCTAGTTCACCAAGGAATAAGTGGCCGAAACATTTCGGCTTGTACTAACAGCACTTTGGTTTGTTAAATGAGCCCTCGGAGAAATGTGGTTTTGGTAGTTAAAATGAAGAATATCTAGCCCATGTTAGCAACCACCGCATGTGGATATGACCGTTCCCGTGTATGAGGTGAGGGTATGTTATGAGCAATTGTGTGGGCGTACTGTCTCTACGGTGTCGAGTAGTATCATAGGGTTTCGAGTACTTGTCAGAGGTCACAAAAGAAGATGTAACATTTTTTCCCTTGACTTTGAGGCGTTCATTATGCCTTCACACCAGGGTCGCTGAAGCCAGGGATTTTCAAATCTGAATGCGGATTGTTGTCCGTCTTGATTAACAAATGAATGATCAATATAGATGGGATACAATGTAAAACGTGACTCAGGTCCAATAAAATATTCTACCATAAAGAAAACTGAGACCTAAAGTCTCAGCTCATAAACTTTTTGAGAGCTTTTTGCCGTGCAGGATATTTCGAACAACTAGGGTATTTTCCTTGAAAAAGGAGGAAGAGTACATAGATATAGTTAGTGAAAGGTGAGCCTATTTAGCTAATCAGCATGCTATGCTCGGCTCTCTCGCTTCCACATTTGAAACACGCACTACTTGATCCTGCGGAGGAGTCACTCTTTGGTATTGGGGCTGTGTTTGTGAGCCAGACCAGAGATTCAGCTTCACTTCCTTAAACAATTCAATGCAGCTTTTTTGATTTAACTGTGAAGAATTGAAGGTTCTCAATCTTCCAATTTTATGATCAGGTACATTCGACCTGCCCATTTACAGAAAAGTCAATTTTCCATTAGTATTGTAAAGAATCTACGGAGTAGTTTGATAGAGAGGAGATAGCAGCTATTTAGATATTACTAAATATTAAACTTCAGCGTGGGATGTTTCGCGGGATGGTGGGTTCCTGGAGGATCAACCATTGAGACTCTTCCATTGGCCTTTCCACAGACCTTTGTTGATACAGAAACAATGTGGTTTCTGTTAGCTGCTGGAATGCTCCCAGTAACTAATGTCTTGTATTGATGGGGAGATCATGGGACCGATTTTTCAACGGATTTTGCGGCATGAAATATAGCGAATAATTGTCCGTTCGGACCAAAAGATGTAGAGCAAACTCGTACGGTATAGAATTCAACACCTTCTCCTGGCAATTGAAGATATGGGTTCAAAAAGCTGAACTAACTAATGAGGTAGCTCAATCACGTCTCTCGCGATGAATTGCCATTTACGGTAGAGGGAGGTTGCTGATGCAAGGTTGGAGGCTTGTTTTCGTATTCCCTTTGAAATCCCACTGTGTTCCAAGTTGGTGAATCTAAAAAAAAGATGAACAGCGGGTTGGATAAAGAAACTTCCATTGGAAAGCCAGACAACAGTTACAAGTAAGCTAAACAATAGAATTATGTGGAAGTTGCAAGCAATTACAGGTTGGAAAAGCGGTTACCATCAGTCACATTTGAAGGGGCGCAAACTCAGAGTCTCCCGCCGGCAGTTTGTGATAATCCATTTTCTCCTACACGCAGAATTTCAGAGTTGGTATATTACCAAGGATGCATAAGTTATTTAACACCCATTCCTGAAGCCCTCCATGGATGGAATAATGGTGTATATCTGGTAATATAGTTAGCTATGCTGTTGCTCTGACCCCTTCTTCTCTGCAAATATATTATGAACTGAACTGAGAAAAAATAATAAGTTTCAAACTCACCATATCAGTTGACGAGCAGCAACTTGATCGTTCGCTAGATACAAATTGACTCTGCATGAGGCTTCGGCTAAGGGCGAAATTTAGTGGACTTCATATGATTGATGCAGGAAGAAGGAACCTCGGGTAAATATCAGCGCCCCAAACGGGAAAATGGAGAGCGAACTGGTTAACATAACTTAAGCTGCGTTGCCCTTATGTTCTTGCGCGTAGTGACACTGCCTTGAAAGCAATTGAACCATTCACATTTTGTTCTTCATTCTTTCATTTTTTTTTCTACTGATTTATTTTGCTCCGACGATACTACCTGTTGAGTCAGCAAGGGCGCATTTGCCATTGGGCAATGGGAGATGTTCAAAAGTGATGCAGTCAACTTGGAGACTAGAAGTAGTTATAGTTAACTAGTTCCACTCACGACAAAACAAGGACTATGGTGACGTTAGGCTGGAGGGACGAGAAATTATAAAAGTTGCATAAACAATCAGTTGTGTGGCTGGGATTTAAAAACCCAGCTAATAAGTATTGAACTAGGAACCCGTCAGTTATATCAAAATCTCTCGGTTTGCTCTTGTCATAACCTCCAGCGGATTCGGCGTTTTTGCGCCCAAAGCTTCCATCTATTTCAACTAGCTCACCGGCTTACATCAGTACGATGCGTCGTCTCAAGGGTTTCTGCTTTGTTATTTCCGGCTCATGAGGACACCTCCAATACAACCACCCATTCATTTGTGCTGTTGTTATCAAAGCTGGAGCTTCCTATCCTCCGGCTAACCGGCGGCTGCGCCTCGCCAGCAGTCGATCCCTCACACCCTCGTACGGCGAGAAGATCGCCACTAAGATCAAGTTAATTTGAGTTAGTTGCGCACCAGCACGCCACACTTCTAGGTGTGAAAAGAAATCGAATCCCGGAGAAGAAAATTTTTAAATCAAAACCGCAACAAAGGAATGTTTGTGTTGTGTCAGAGACACCTAACCTGTCCTATAATAAATGTCGAAATGCGCAACTGAACCCATCAATGCTACTCTGTTGGCTGCTAACTACCGTAGCCAAAATTATTTATCCTGCCGTATGGAATATAAGATGACGGGAAACAGGAACAAAAACAAGAAACTGCATAGAATAATTTTCATCTGTGCTTCGAGATGTCAAGTATCTCCGGCGGTTCTATGTGAAAGTGATATCTCAACACTTAGCACTACAGTCAAGGGCAGCTATGTGAGTGGTTGACATCATTGAACAACATTTGCAGAATTCTAGAAATAAGTTACGCCACGTGGAACAAGTCGTTATAACATAAAACCAGCGTTCCAATCAGATTTACTCGTTGGGTATTCTAACGAGATGGTCGTGAATTTATGTATGCCGCTGGATAAATTACTTATCTTGAATATTACTGTGGAAGCCTATGCTGCTCATCGCCATTGTTCTTATGTTCCAAAAGTGTTTTCCTCCTTCGCTTCAGCGGTGAGTTTCTCTCAGTTCAACCAGTGCGCCGTCTGTGTTTCGGCGATTTTCAGAGCTAACTATAATTTCCCCAAGCTCGACTCCATAACTAACCCTAACTATCTAGGTAGTAAGTTAACAATTCAGCTAGCTCGGCCCGCATTTTATTTTTATTTGACCCCTCATGGATCCTCCGCCTCAAGGTGAACCGCATGTTAGAATCCACAAACGAGAAATCATTGGGACTCGTCTGCTTCAAAGAGAGACAAATGGATGCAATGGTCGGAATATGTAGGTATTAGGTTTTCTGATGATACACGATTTCCCATTGCAGTCCTCAAGTTCCCCTAGCTTTCATCGCACCTTGTGTTATTACTACCCTAACTCTTGGAATGGTCTACATGGAGACTCCTTGCGAGCCAAGCAAGTATGTGCCCCCCTTGTCATGGAAAGGCATGGTATCCATATTACCTGCATTCGCATAACGCCCCAAAATTTTTTCTAAAGGAAAAAACAATTTAAAAAAGATGTTAAGATCATGCAACAGCCAATGGAAAGCACCATCGAAAGTAATAAATTTCATAACGGGCATAACATTGGCCAGTTGAGCCGTTTTCCTCTAGTCCAAGAGCCTTCCTGTTAGCTACTTCATATGATATCGGAGACGGAGCAGATCGTTCTATATTGGCTCTCTCCCCAAAGCTCCCCACAGCAAGGTCTCTTTATACAACCCCTTCTCCAGTCATTTTTTAACTTGCGTTCGCTATTGTGGCCCTCTTCTCTTTATTGATCTATACGTACTATTTGGATTATTTAATTCAATCCCTCTCTTCCTTTCTTTTCGTTCCAGATTTGCTGTTTCAATTTAGAACTACTTTATTTTTTTTCAGTGGTACTTCCGCTGGGACTGTCGTTTCAATTATTCGTGACCACGGTGGGTTAAACGTCCATTTCTATCCTCTATGTCTCATATATAACATTTCACTATTCTTCTTCTCTCTCGGGCGTTATTGTGTCAATTGCGGGCATCTTGACCTTTCAAAATAATTTTGGCAAGACGGAACCAAACCTGTTCCAAAAATGGAGCTCGACAACATATATATGCTATCTTTTAAGCTATTATTGTCAGTGCGCCTCACCCAGATAACTTCCAATTGGCTGTCATGAACATTGACGAAGGCATGAAGATCATTGAGAATCCGTATTGCAGAGGTGAACTTCTACTGATGTCTAGCATGGAATAACTAGTCTTTACCGTTATGTACGTCTCGTTGTTAATTTAATCGCCGTTTGGACTTTCAAGCCAATATTCCCAGCAGAGAATCCAACGTTGACATCTCAAGACGCCACAATTATCATACCCTCTCTGCTGGGCTACGGAGATGAACTAAAAGTGACCCTCCGATCCGTCCTTATTAACGAGCCGTTCCAAATTATTCTCGTAACAATTGATAGCAATAGGGGGAGCGCAGAGAAAATGCTTAGGACAATGCCCGCATCAAAAACTCGGATCCAACTGCTTAGCATCCCAAAACCAAACAAAAGACGCCAAATGGTGCGTGCTATTCCCGAGGTCCAAACTAAGATTACGGTATTCGTGGATGATGATGTTAGCTGGCCACCAAGGGAGCTGGCATGGCTATTGGCTGTTTTTGAAAAGGACCCTATCTATGGAGGAGTAGCTACATGCCAGAGGCTAAAGGAATCAGACTCATCACTGTTCTCCATAAAGCGGGTGTGGGACTTCCTAGGGGCATTGTACCTGGAGCGTAGGAATTTCGATTGTGCTGCGACAACGCATGTGGACGGAGGCATGCCCTGCCTCTCTGGACGGACCTCTGCTTACCGGACCAAAATCCTTCAGGATCGGGACTTCACCTACAATTTCACAAATGAGGAGTGGTGGTTTGGGAAATATGAATTGAATGCAGATGATGACAATTTCCTGTCGCGCTGGATGGTATCGCACGGTTGGGAAACATATTTCCAATACCATCCAGAGGTGGAAATCCAGACAACGCTTGAAAGCAACTCTAAGTATCTCAAGCAATGCGTTAGGTGGTCCCGGAGTAATTGGCGGAGTAATCTCACAACCCTGATTCAGGAGCAAGTCGTTTGGTAGTAAGTTACTGGCATCTCCTTGGTCTAGCGTCATTTCCTGTGTCCTCCTTCAACAATTTTTCTCATACTATCTCCTTCTGGTGCCGGTGGGATTTGGTCCTGTTTTATACCTGCAAACTGCAACTTCGACAACGACACCCACGAAGCCATTGAACTTATAAAGTGAGGGGCACTTTTTCCATTTTTCAACTTCCCTTTTTTTTTTTTTTTTTTTTTTTTTTTTTTTTTTTGTTTTTGTTTTTGTTTTTTTTCCCGTGTTGTGCGGGATTACGTCGTATTTTGTATGTTCTTTTTGGTTTTTTTTTTTCTGGTTCTTCTAGCGGCCATAGCCCCGGCAATTCGCGCAATCAATGCTGCTGCTCCTTTCTGGAGCTTCTGCAGTGAGGCTTGATAACTTGGCTCATCCCTGTCACAATGAACCATAATAATTAGGCCAGAGGGCTAACATAGAAGGGTCCGTGTTGACTACTCTCCCATTAGCCGCCAACCATGGAGCACCTATGCTGTCTATCTGACCACCCTGTCGCCGCCAGCTTTGGTTGGAGATTTGGCCCTTGTCGTATTATGCTACTATGGCACAAAGGATTGGGACGAGTGCTCTCGCATGTTCACACTGAAGGCTTTGGCTCTATGGATGTTCGTCAGTAAATTTATCAAGCTCCTCGGTCACTATATTCGAAATCCAGCCGATTTTCTCCTTTTACCCGTGTCAATTCTGTTTGGATATTTTCACGGCCTGATAAAGCTCTACGCTGCTTTTACACTTAATGTGGTAAGTCCGCTTTTCTCATTTGAGTATCTTTTACCAAGGTAGCTTTGAATAATGCCGTGTGGGCCAAGATGGTTGCACCTGTTCTGGACCTTTCTTTACCTTTCTGGGAACAGTCCGTTTGCTTGCCCACCCTGTCAATCTCTACTCAAAATTGTGGAGTTTGGGCCAGATGGGTTTAGAGTTTTAGTTGGCTCAATGCTCAGCTCTCCGTCACAAGCGAGCACCATAAAAGTTCTCTACCTCCGACTCGTCTTTTTTCAGTGTCGCGTACGAATTGTGGCCAAGTTTTTTTCCATAAACAGACGTACCTTGTCACTATGCCTTTGTTCCAATCACTGACATAAACTGCGCTGTTGCGTTTTTTAGACCACATGGGGCACCCGCGATGGTGCTGATGCTAGTGATTCAGAACGCATGCGGGAAAAGCCCCGAAGATGAAGGTTAAAAAGAGGTAAAAGCCTATCTATTTCAACACTCAAAATAAAAATTTTTGCTCAGTGATATTGGACCTGGCTCCGCCCTTTAGTTACAGAACCTGCAGGTAAGAATTTTCTGGTAGCTTGGCGAATAAAATACATCGCTGTATCAAAGAATTTGACACTGAAATGCTTAATTAGTTAACGATTTTCCACTTTGTTATTCTGCGAAACTACTGGCCCCTCTTGTTGATTGCGGGCCGCGGGATGATACCACGCCAGATCATGCAAGATGCCAAATCTTGCCGCAACGATTTTCTTTATCCGAGTGGCGATGCCTCCAACAAATGCACGACATGCAATTTTTTACTTTTCCTTTCTCTTTCCAGGTTGGCCGACCCGTTCTATAATCGGTCTCATTTCGGAGCAAAATCAAGCCACCTTCCAACTCTCCGCAATTAGGTAATCTTAAATCGACCCTTTCATGCTCGATATTATTGGTCAGACGATACCCCTATTTCATTGTTTTTGGGTGTGCCTTAGAAATGGTCATCTCCAAATGTTTTGCAAATCATCACCACTTTTGCTACATTTTTAATCAGTAAAAGCGCCAAAAGTCATCGATATCACGAATCTTATTTTTACGATCGAGTTCACCAAATCACGAAAACTCAGAAAGACAAACACGCTGGTAATTCTAATAGGTGAGAATTGGGGCTTCAGCACCACAGCACCCCTTTTTATTACTTTTTCTGTTTTTTGTTTCATATCTTTCTCTTGTCTTTTCTCTCGCGTTCCAGTTGTAACGAACTAGAAAAATTATATGGATCATGACTTCCGTCCAGGAAACAATAATCTTAATATCTCGCGCAGATTGTTGGATACAGGCAAAGAAAGTGGATTCTGGCGCTCTAGAGGATGGTTTTCAATCACATATATTTGCTATTCATGCTATTTTTGCTTTCTACAGTAATGGGGAAGAGTCGGCGACCTGGAGCTCTGTCTTCTATTTTCTTAAATTGTGATACATACGCTCTCTATTTCTTCCTCAAAATTGGACTGGATTCGTGGTTCCTGAGATATCTTCCTTTCCTTCCATGCCATAATTAACCAGTGTTTTTGCCTATTCTTGTTTGCTTGGTAACTTATTATATCATTGCGTTTCCTTCCGAGTTCGAATGCGTATGTCTTTTCTTTCAATAGGAGTTGGTGAGAAAAGGTTTTCTTTCTCTTCAAAATAACCGGAAGATATATTGAACGATTCTCCTTAGATTTTGATCGATATTGGTTCTTCGTCTGGGATATTATTTTTATTTTTAATATCATGAATGCACAAGATACTTTAAAAGAGATAATGTGCTAGATAGATGGTAGTTAGGTGGAGTGGCAAAAGAAGGGGAGTCGAATTAACTATGATCAGTGGGAATGAGAAGGGGGTGTAATACTTGGATAGAGGTGGTCAAAATCATATTTAAAAAGCTCTGTGGGACAGGAATCATTCAAGAAGTCACAGTTGGATTTATGCCGTGCTGATTGGTCATTTTCATGATTTTAAATATTATATCGGGTAGTAGAGCATAAAATCGGCTCAGGTACATTTTGTAATTTCACCAGAACCTTCACATATAGTTCCAAAGGCTTAATTATAACAGTGTGGCATGCAAAACTCTTTTATGTCCCTCTTTTTTCAAAGCCAACTGTAAAGGAGCTTCTTCGTATATTTGAAGGATAAAAAGCATCGTATCACTAGATACCATGAATCTTTCTAGAAAATCTGGCTCTAGAATATCGTTTCACTACAGCCGCGTCTAAAAGTTCTAGATACAGAGATGGTCCAGGGTTATCAAAAGAAAGCGAAAGATGATTGATGATATAATCCGAACCCTGGGTTAGCGAGATGATCGACAATTTGTTTCAGGACGGCAAACCGACGGAAACTAAGCATGAGCAGTCAGGAATCCGACAGTGACGGCTGAATTTCTGTCTGTGAGTGGCACTGAGCGCTGTTGTGCAGCGTGCATGGTGCTTCTTTCTCAGTATGAATACCACGATCCCATCAATATCCATGCCCTCTTCCCCACAAGATGGAACCACACACCCAAATGTAGCTCATCATGCGAGCCACTGCGTTCGATATGCTTGAGGTTCCCTGTTTGTGAGATTCTCAAGGTTCACAATAATTGCAGATTCGTTGCAGGGAACATGGAAGGGTCTTTGCATATACTCGATGCTGATTGCCAGTTCCCTTGAAGGTTAGTGGATATGTTCTGCGCCCGTTTCCTTTCGAAGGGCGCACATGCAAGTGATATGTACTCGCTGCATGGAAGTGAACAGGCTTATAAGAATGTCAAATACAAAACGCAAGGGTCCTTGACTCGAGCAGCAGTCCAAGTTGGTGAACCACCGGCTTGACTTTTTCTTTTGCAGCCTGAGATAGATCAGAATGACGCAGTCAAATGACGTGGTCAAATGCAAAACAAGGAGAAAAGTTAGTTCATAGAGATCGTACTGGGGAAAGGTGTTTGGGGTGTCGGGTCCATAGAGAGTTAATTATCTCGGAAGGTGGTATTTCAGAGCCAAATTGTATGCATGTGTGTGTACATGCATTACTGAAAAATACTCTTGCCAGACGTGACGTTTATGTTGCTTTTCCTCAACGAATGTTAACACTCGACAGCTGAACCAAGATACACGTTGCGGAAGACGGCTGGCATATATTCTCTGCGGAAGAAGAAAACATAAGCCCAGGGTGAACTGTAAACAACCACATTTGTCGCAGTTATGAAGTAAAGTGATTTTCAGGGCACTTCCTTGGACGATCGACTCCAGACTGAGCGGGAGATCTATGAGATCTGCTGTTCCGGTGATCCTGCATCAGCCGATTCACTTCTGCTTTCGCTGCAGAATTTCCTCTTTGTTGCTCAACTCCTCTATGTACTCACAATTGGTCGAAGTGCTAAGTGCGCATCTGGGTTGACGCTGGCGCACTATGATTTGCAGTCTGTAAGTTGGGAATTGGGTAGATCGTTCTTGATGAACAGTGGGACTCCATATTTACCTGCATATGCAGCGGTTCCTTAATCGGAGGTAGTCCTCGGTACATGGTTCTTCAGATCGATGCTCTGGGAACGTCGCCCCGCCTTTAGAGTCCCCTGGTCTGTAGGACCCAAAGACCTAATGGAGAAGTTTCAGAATTTATATCTTCAACCCAAAAATGAATAAATAAAATAAACCCCTCAGCTTGTGGAAGTCATCGTTTCGTCCAGTGAGGCGGGTATGTACGAACTTCCAGAGGTTGACAGAGGGCAGGACTCATATTTCTAAAAGATAGGGGTATATACGTTCTCCCTGCCAAAATAATAAAGATCAATCCCCAGCCATGCAGAGCTCCTTTACCCAACTCTTGGCACTGAAACATAAAAAGCCAAACCTCATTCGTAGAAACGTATGCCGATGAAATGTCCGTGTTTAGCCGTCAGTTCTAGACTGGAAAAACAAACAATTCGCTTTCCTTGAGAATGTGTGTTCTTCCAGGTGCTGCATATTAGCAGCGTTTATCTGCATGCTGGTGAATATTATTTCGTATGTTGTATGGTTGGGTTTAGAAATCGAGACCTGTAGTGCTTGGAGTGCGAAGAGAAGGAATATAGATAGTTAGTAAACTAACAATATATATTACTAAGCTCTGTGTCCCAAAATAGTTACCAGCTGCAAATCTCAAACCCTAATGAATGAATGAATAGCCCTGCCACTGTGGCGGTGCTATGTCAGCTCGACGTCAACTTACGCTACAGCAAGAGATACAACTGAAGAAATACCAAACAACATGAAACCAATCTCGAGGATATCCGCATCTACTCTTTTTAACCCCAAGTCCCCTTTACGCCTCCCGTGGGTTGATAGTCACACTCGCCATGTCCACTCATCAATAGCAAAAGGCGCTGTTGCCCATCCCATAAGCGTCCATGGCCCGCCACCAAAACCGCCCGTTCCGTCTCCTGAATTCCTTGAGCGCATTGAGCGGAGAAAGAAACAGTCAGAGCTTATGCAACAGGAGAACATTTCAGAAGTACAACAGGGAACGAAGACAACGTTAAGACTGCTGAAAAGGCGTTTCTGGAAGGATGTCCATGTGAAAGAAGTGGCCGGTAAGAAACCAGACATTGTAAAAGTAGACTGAAATAATTTCCCGCCAGCCCGTTCGTCTCTAGGAATTATTATCAACAAGTTAGCTTTGGCACCTGAAGCATTTTGTCATAAAGCGGAATATGCTAATTTTTCTTCATCGTGATTATTATACATGTTTATAGACGGGCATCAAGTCCTCCTAGACTCGCGCCCTATCCGAACCCCAGAAAAGAAAATCATCACTATCCCGCCCTCAAAGCCACATCTTGCCCATGCCATCGCGCTCGAATGGGACCTCCTCGTCTCCTCCCACCAGGCTCTAAAACATCACTTAATCCCACTGACGGCGCTTACAGCCCGTGCGCAAGATATCGCCTTGCAGGATGCTGCCAGCCAAGATACCATCCGCAACGAAATCTTGAAAACCACAATGCGATATCTGGACACGGACACATTGCTAATCTGGGCGCCGGAGAAGAATATACATGATCCTGATGCTCACAGCGAGGAGGTAGCAGAATCGGGACAGGTGGTGAGAGAAGGGGAGGCGCAGGAGTCGCTACGTGACATCCAAATCAAAACAGCTATGCCGATCATCAACTTCTTAACTGAGAAAGTGTGGCCGGGCATTGAGATTAAGCCTTCATTGGAGGCGGATAGTATCATGCCTACCCCACAGCCGCAGATAACCAAGAACGTTATACGCGGGTGGATCTACGGCCTGCCGGCGTATGAGCTAGCCGGGTTGGAACGGGCTGTTCTAGCTAGCAAGAGTTTGCTTGTGGCAGCGCGGTTCATTGTTGAGTGGAGTGAAGAGTTTCGCCATCTGCAGCCGGAAGGGCGGAGGGAGTTTGGCATTGAGAAGGCGGCCGAGGCGTCGACGCTGGAAGTTACGTGGCAGACGGGAAAGTGGGGGGAGGTGGAAGATACTCACGATGTTGATCGGGAGGATGTGAGGAGGCAGCTTGGATCGGTTGTGTTGCTTGTGAGTGGAGAGCGGAGATAAGTTTTCGAGTACAGCCGGGGGTGGGGAGGGAAATGCTGTATTATACGCGGTGCCATCTGTATATTTAATTAACAAGCAAACAACACCAAAGGCCGCCTGGCTATAATCTGGTGTTATGCATGGTGAAGATGAGTGTATTTCATAACCTTCTGCCGTGTAATTGATACGTACATAAAAGATTATATTCGTTTTCTTTTACCTCTTAACATTTGATCCCAGGGATTCGAGGGCTTGACCAACAGAATCCCCCATTTTTCAACAGGATAATTTATGTGCATAAACATATTCCCTGACCACTTCAGCAGCAGTCGTCTCATTGTTTCACCAATTCCTACATGTTATCATCCATGCCCAACTAACTTCTGGGAGCATCGACATCATTGTGGGACTGGAAATCACCAAGGCTGTAAATTGAGCTGGCCACATGCTATGGGGATTCCTTTTTTAACCAGCACGTCTGTTCAAAACCCCCTTCCAGCCAATTTTACTTGTTCCATTATAAATAGAAGGAGTAGAGTAAGGTACCTCTTGGACTACTCATATTCCTTCACGCCATGAGCAGACCTAAGTGATTATTTTTTTTTTTTTTATTTTTTTTTTTTCATTTTCATTGATTATACCCATTACAAACGATTGCTCTACGTAATAATGTTATGGAGAACTACGAATTTCGTAAAGGAACAATGAGAGCCTGTTCCCAGGAGCTCGTCGAACCCTGGTGTAGGGTCTGCGTATTTGCCTCCCTTGAGACATGAAGGGTTTATACGAAATAACATCTGCTTGTGACGAAGCCATTGTTATCAAATTTAGTCGCTGGAAGAGGGGACTGCTTGAGTTACTGAATAGGGACTAAATATTAAAGCGGAATTGTAGGGGAGTCCGTCCCCAGTCCAACTACAGAATACTAGCTGGGTATTTAAACTCAACATCCCTTGGGGAAATGATAACCACCAACCAACGACGTTCATCCGACGTCGTAGACGCCACAGAACGATCTGTCATATCCCAGTTTCCAGTTCCTGCTACTTTCTCTCTCAAATCTCTTCATCTTCTTCTCTTCAATCACCTCCTGTTGCAAGTCGTTATTGCATCCATTGCCCATCAACCTTCATCGCCGGAGATACCATTGAGCACCAACGAGTGGACCCCACACACAGTGAGGACTTCGGGGCGGATTGCGTGTATTCAGCACCTGCTTGAGCATATGTCAGAAGAGATAGGGTAACTAATATTGACATTTTCTTTTCTGGCGGGAAATCAACTATATAACATCTTAGAGACGTTGTTCATTGGCAGCATCTTAAAGCTCTCCCCACTCAAATTCGCCTTTCACCACTGTTCCAGAAACCTCCTCTTCCTGCCCAGTTAAATATCCTTTCTTTACAATAGTTGCCTCTTCTCCTGTTGTTCAATGGCCTGAAACAGCCTGAGCCCCGGATGTACCATTGATTGGCGTCGTCATATCCCAGCAGGGATGCGCATGCTGACATAAATGCCCTAACTTAACTCTTAACTAACACCAACTCTACTTGCCCGGCCCCAGTCACAAACGCTCAAAGAGTGCCTTAGCGCATTCCTTCCTCCACCGAGCCAAATGCAGGTCTGGCCTTCAAGAAGACCCCGAAATTCTCCTAGCGAATCGTGAGCAGTATGGTGCTTCCGCTACGATGGATCCCAAGGCTCTCTCGGTCCCGCCAGCCAGCGACGGTTCCTGTCCCTCCCACTCGAACTCGACTTCCATGACTAATCTGTGTGCCACCCGCCAGCAGACTGACACCCTGTCTTTGAACAAGAGCCCCGGTGGGAACGCTGGCTCCACCACTGCCTCTCACGAACAGCCACCTTCAGGGGGCAGAGGAGAAGTATTGACCAGATCAGCCATGTCGATTGAACAATCAGTTCGCACTTTTCGCCTTTTCGAAATCTTACGCAGCGGAGATACCACGGCCATATCCAAGGCCATCAAAGAATGCGCAGAACCCCAGTCCCAGGGAACCCCGCCATTGGGCACCAGCATCCTCCATCTCGCAATACAATGTGTTGAGCCACAGGTTGTTGAATATATCTTGTCAAGTTCTTCTAACCTTGACATCAATGCTCGAGATCGTGATGGCAACACCCCCCTCCATCTCGCTGCCCAACTGGGTCGGGCCCCCATAGTCCGCGAACTCCTCGAGCGCCCGGATATTAACGATTCCGTTACGAACTACAACGGTCAGATACCTCTGGACCTTGCGCGAACCCCGGAGATTTTTCAGCAACTCCAGCTAGCCCGTTCGATATTCTTGGATGCTAAAACGAAGGAGATGCAGTGTTTAATCGGGCAGGGCGAGTACGAGAGACTAGAACGTCTGTTGGTGGAGCCACGGGTTGAAGGCTTGCTAGATGTGAACAGCTTGGATCTGGTTACTGATCGGACTACCGTGATGACTGGTGGAACCTTACTTCACGAGGCGGCTAGAAAGAAGGATACAAAATTAATACAGATTCTTTTAATGCATGGAGCAGATCCATTCAGACGCGATCGAAAAGGGAAGCTCCCTCAAGACGTCACAAAGGACGATCGGACCCGTGCTATCGTGAAGAGGTCACCCGCTGCCATGATCGCGCAGCGAGGAATCCAGGAAAAGGCAATCCTGGGCAGCGCAGCTGGACAAGGGAATCCGTTACGATCTGGAGTTGGAGAAGCAGGTGTAGGAGGAAAGGATGCTCGGGAAATGAAGGGTTATCTCAAAAAATGGACCAATTACACAAGTGGTTATAAGTTGAGATGGTTTGTATTGGAGGATGGTGTAATGAGTTATTACAAACACCAAGGTATGATCATAGTCACTAAACCCGTAGGGTAACGTCACTTCTTGTCAAAATAACCCCGCTAATATCATACAGATGATGCTGGCTCTGCCTGTCGTGGTGCGATCAACATGCGTATAGCGACCCTGCATATGGATGCACAAGATAAGACCCGTTTTGAGATACAAGGGAAGTCGTCAGTCAAGTACCATCTCAAGGCTAACCACGTTGTTGAGGCCAAGCGTTGGTTTTGGGCTCTGAACAACGCAATCCAATGGACCAAAGATGAGGCTAAGGAAGACGACAGACGCAGGACAAGGAATGCAGAAAGCTTACGTCAGGCAATGCTGGAACAATTTGACAAACAGGGGTTGGATTCTCAAAGCGACTCCGCTAGCGTTGTCGGCAGACCAAGCGGGAAAAACCTTGCACCTCAGTCATCCCTCGGGGTTCTCAGCCACGCGAGCTCGAGGCTGAGTCTTCAAACTTCAAGAGGAGGAACGGAGAGTATCCGTGGTGAAGATGAAAGTTCCAATTACGTGCCAAATGAATCGACCTTTTCCCCACAAGAGAACAATAAATTGCCAACCCTTCTCACTAGCCACGTCCTCCAAGGAGAAGCTGAAGATGATGATTGCGGAGATTACGCCAGCAGCAATGAACTACAACCTTCAAATAAGGACGCTTTCAATATTACCGCCCAATCTGTTAGACTACAGCTCTATCTTTTGAGCAATGTTTCAGCCGCTCTTCAGGCAGAGAAAGTGAGGAACCCAGAGACTCGAATTTCAGACCCTTCAATCGATCAAGCTTTAAATGCCTATGAAGGGGCAGTCAGTAGTCTAAATTCCCTTGTGGTTGATTTACTCAAAATCTCAAGGGATCGAGACGCATTTTGGCAATATCGCCTGGACAGGGAGGCTGACGCCCTTAAGATGTGGGAAGACAGCATGGCTAGGGTCGCCCAGGAACATGAAGAGCTTCAGAGCAGAATTGGCGAGTCGGAGGAGAAACGAAAGAGAACGAAAAAAGCGCTGAAGGAGGCTTTGGAGCACCCGTCAACTTCAACTAGTCGTCCCATCAGTAGAGGCCCGTCTCATGTCCAAATACAAGATGCCCTGGAAGTGGTCAAGGAAACCGTTACTGAGAAACTAGCCTTTACGGAGCGCAAGGCCAGCAAGGAACTGAGAAGGAAGAAGTCCCTCATCACGGAACTCACAAACTTGTCTGATTCGGAATCTGATGAGGACGAAGAGTTTTTTGATGCCGTTGATGCTGGAGAAGTCAAGATCGTGGAAGTTCCACCGGAGAAGGTAGTCGAGGCCCAGGATTCCGTTTCTAATATCCGAGCTTCGAAACTCGATGAGATCGCTCCGTCATTTAAAGGGTATGAAGATCCAATTCGCAAGAGGCTTAAAATGGATGCAGACGATAGACCTAAAATTTCTCTCTGGGTAAGGGAGCATGCGCATCCACTCTTTCAATTCAAGATTGATGTTGCTAACTAACACCCCATTTTAGGCTATTTTGAAATCAATGATAGGCAAAGATATGACCAAGATGACACTCCCTGTGTCATTCAACGAACCAACGTCGCTGCTCCAACGGGTAGCCGAGGATATGGAGTACGCGGATCTTCTTGACCTCGCTGCTGACCGTGCAGACTCCATGGAACGCATGATCTACGTTGCTGCTTTTGCAGCTAGTGAGTATGCTTCAACAATTGACCGTGTGGCTAAGCCATTCAATCCTCTTCTTGGGGAAACATTCGAATACGTCAGACCGGATAAAGGTTACAGATTCTTCATTGAGCAAGTTAGCCATCATCCCCCAATTGGTGCCGCGTGGGCTGAGTCTCCGAAATGGGATTACTATGTATGCATCCCTTGTTGGTACTACTACCGTTTGTCAGCTCTCCCTCACGATACTTACTTAATTTTAGGGTGAATCCGCTGTGAAATCAAAATTTTATGGCAAGTCGTTCGACATCAATCCACTTGGTACTTGGTTTTTGAGGCTACGCCCTATCAGTGGTGGCGAGGAGCTCTACACTTGGAAAAAGATTACTTCATCAGTTGTTGGCATCATTACCGGTAATCCCACTGTAGACAACTATGGGTCTATGGAAATTAAGAATTGGACTACCGGCGAAGTGTGCATGCTTGACTTCAAACCTCGAGGCTGGAAGGCATCCTCCGCCTATCATGTCTCCGGCAAAGTGATGGATAGTGAAGGATCGACTAAATGGAGCATCGGTGGGCGCTGGAATGACAAGATCTATGCCAGGCACACGCCCGGGTATCAAGAGTCGGTCACCCCACCTCATGATGATACTCCCCAACATCCAGAATCAACCCGAGCATTCCTTGTCTGGCAATGCCATCCCCGACCCACCGGTATTCCTTTCAACCTGACACCCTTCGTTCTCACGTTAAACGCCATTCCCGATAACCTCAAGCCTCACCTGCCCCCAACAGACACACGGCTCCGTCCGGACCAACGTGCTATGGAGGATGGCGAGTATGATTTTGCGGCGACGGAGAAGCATCGTGTGGAAGAGAAGCAGCGGGCAAAGAGACGAGAGCGAGAGACCAAGGGTGAGGAATTTGAGCCGAAATGGTTTAGCAAGGGCCGATGCAAAATCACCGGTGAGGAGTTTTGGGTTTATAACGGACGGTATTGGAAGTGTAGGGAGGCTAATGACTGGTCTGTTTGCGAAGATATATTTTAAGTTTTTTTTTCAGTTATCTTTTTCGCAGCCTTTACTTAACATCTCTGGTTGTTTCCTGGCTTTATTTGTTTGCGGACAACCACCGTTCTAAGTTAAGCATGCGGAAGAGGTGGTTATTGGTATGTTAACAGCATAGGAAACCTGGGGTTAACCACCGTTTGATATGTATTGTTATTTATTATTATTATTGTCTTCGTCCCCTCAAGTTTATTACAATAGAAATATATCCAACAAATTCAAAGATAATGCATTCCGAAAATCAAAATCGGCTTCTTTTCAAGGAGCGTGGACCCCACAGCCACGTGATTGATATTATTTAGCTCCAAGATATTGGTTGCAAAGAACTTTTTGGCGTCAACTATACAACTGCCCGTCAAAATCAGTGTCCATTCTCTCTAGAGACAATAGTTCCCAATGGTCATGGAATTTACATGCCAGAAATGTGCGCAAGCACTACGACTAGGAATTCGGCCACAGATTCCTTCAATTCGAGTACGGACTCTGTCCAACGTCGGACGCCGATACCAACATCTGAGCACAAATGCATCCAGCCTCCAGGCCTCTAAAGCAGGCTCATGGTCGACTAAAGTTCGAGCCGAAACGACCACTATTACAAATGTCGCATCGTTATCTGCCAGCGAGCCCACTACAACAGGGGCTTCAGAAGCCTACCATGGAAGACCTCTGCTTCAACCGCACAACCTGTTCCATTCGTATAGCAACTCCCCCTCTCCGGAAATACGACAGCGTGCAGCGTTCATAGCGCAGAATGCCTTCTGTCCTCATCCAAGTCATCGTCGGACGCGTGTTCCCACCTCTCCGTATGATTCTGAGGCGAGAAAGTCACCAGAAGCCAGCAGTGACAGCCAGCCGCCCTTGCACTCTCAATTCGAATGCCCGGACTGTGGGGTGCCGATATATTGCTCCGAAGAGCACTGGATGGATGATTTCGAGGCGCATCTGGAAGTGTGCCACACAATCCGGCAAATAAATGAGGACGACCATGACCTGAGGTCTGGCAGATTTTTTACCGAGTTTATCTACCCGGGCCCACAGGAGGATGAATCGGTTGTGAATATGACGAATTGGGATACATTCTTATATACCAGGCAATTTGATGCCATTAACAATGATAGAAACATGAGGCAGGTGACGAGATTGCTCACGTACCCGGTCACTATTGCCAGTGTGCTGCATGAGCTTTCTCCATATCATATCCGTAATGGTGGCCGGTTAACGCCGGAGGGATTGAAGAGCTTGAGTGGTATGTATCGCTGAACTTCCTAGATATCTACCTTTTGATCCTCGAGAGCAACTAACCGATCCACCCAGCGCTTCGCTACACGCTCCATCCACCTAGAACCGGCGAGGGAGCAGCAATGTCCGGCCTCCGCCTCAAAGCGCCCCCGGTCCGCATCTTTATCCTAGGCGCACGGGCGGAATCCTCCCTACCCCGGGACGTCTGGCTGCAACTTTCCTATCTCTTCCCACGCGCGCTCATAAGCCTCATATTCATCGGTCCAGAGAGCATGGCGAACCGGGACGACGAGTTTCCGCTCCCCGATCGCACCCCATCAAATCCATTCGGTGCCATCGTTGAGGACCGCTTGCACTCCCTAATGAAGATAACTACGTATGTCGACTATTTCCACACGATTCATCGGGCCAATATGTTTCAGCCGTATGACCCTTACTTTGACTGTTTCATGCTATTCCATCCGGGACTTGGGCATCCCTCCAGCTCGCATGAATGGGAAGAAACGCTACCGTATCTTCTGGAGACGAAGGTTCCCATTCTGTGCACGGGGTATTCAGAGTGGGATATGAAGAGGGACTTGGATTGGGTGATGGAGAAATGTGGCGGAGAGGTGGATTTGTTGCTGGAGCCTGGAGAGAATAGGTTCCGGAGTCTGAGGTGGGACCTGAATGATATGGATCCGCATGATATTTCATGTGGGAATTGGGGATTGTGGGTTTTTAGAGGAAAGAGGTATGTTATTCGGCGCATTCGCCATTGATATTCTCAATAAATGTGCTCTACTGACTTTTTTTTCTTTCGTACAGATATGAGGCCACTTATAAGGAGTCAGAAGCAGAATAGTCCATTGTGTGAAGTAATTCTATTGTAATATGTTGAGATTGATGTTCGACCTCCTCTCCGTGTATTATTCAACAACCCTCATTGTTGGAAATCAAGTTCCACTCAACATTTTAAAATATTCTATTATTACAAACTTTGCTCCACCAATATTCTTTCCATCTCTCTATTTTCTAATTTTCTATCTCCTAACCTCTGTCCCCATAACCGCCCGCATAATCCCAGGAGAGAACGTTAATTGGCATTGAAGCATGGTCGAGGTGCTATAGAGGGAGAATATCCAATAATCAAAGCATTAAGTCACTCGTGGGCAGCACATGGTCAAAACGAAATATCAATAAATTGGTAATTCTAGGTGCACAAAGGAAGGAGGAGGGGGTTGGGGGGTGAACAATCTCTAGAATATATCATCGTCAATTACCAAAGGGCCAAAGCGTAAACAAGTGAACATCCATGATAATAAACCAATGAGATTCAACAAAAATCTATAATAGTGACAAACAAAGGGGTATCACGCCACCACAGAAGACTGACAGACTCTATAAATCGTGAGAAAAGAATGAAATAAAGAAACACGGGCCATTTATATCAGCGTAACGGTCGCAACAACTAACGAAGCCATGACCCAATAGCCGCTCAACATCAACAGCACGGGCGGGGAAGCAAAGCTGCTAGAACCGTCCTTGATGGATGGGTCGGGGTTTGTCGTCCCATTCGCAAGCGTGCCATTCACATAGATAGTTCTAGTCCCATTGACAGTAGCCACGATAATAGTCGAAGTGTTCTTGGGCAGGCCATCTCTGTCCTTTTCACTCAGCAGCTGATCAATATATGTTGTGTTGTCGTTTTTGTCACAGCCGCAGACACCGAATTGCTGGCACAGACATTCAATGGGGATTTGGGTAACGTTCGCATTAGGATCTGAGGTATTACGATGGCTATAATGCCCGATGTGATAGGCGTGGGCACCAAAAAGCCAGACACCAGGGAAGAAAGCAAGGGCAGCTATTGGGAGGAAAGCAAAGGGGAGCAATCCCATTCTTGATCTTCCACCGGCTGTATAGGGAACTGCGGCGCCGCCGGGATAGAAGCCGCCTCCTCCAAAACTGCGAGGCGTTCCGGAGCCAGAACGTGTTGAGCCGCCGATATTACTGTTTCAAATATATAAAGGAGGGTCAGTAATTATCCAGTGGAACCGGCATATGGATTCTGCATACGCCGTACACACCTTGAGGGTCTAGCTCCAGCCGACCCTGCACTTCCTCCCCTAGGTGAACTTCCACTTCCCCCCTTTGGCCCACCTCCACCGCTTCGTCCTCCACTCCCACCTCCAGATACTCTGCCACCTCCTCCTCCGCCGCCGCCGCCGCCCCTTCCACCACCGCCCCCGCCACCGCCACCTCCTCCTCTACGTTTATCTAGGTCGAAGAATTTAGGGCTATCAACGGGCCCTGGGTTGATAACTTCTCGGGCATCGATATGCGCTACGTGAATGTCTGTTAATGGGATGTTGACGGGTGTAACTGTGCAGGAGAGCGACAGAAAAGCACAAAGCGCAAGACCATATGACAATCTCATTGCTGTAGCCGGCAAATGGAAAGAAATAAGTTTTGAGTCGCACAAATAAAAAGAACAATTTATGGAGTTAAGTGCGACAAAGATGTACGTGTTCGTTGGAAGAAATGTTTAGATGTTTTTGAAGGGGATCGCCTAGGTTTTTATAGATAGCACTAGGCTGAAATCCTGGGAAGCGGCGAGCCAGCAAAACATGAGACCAGCGCTGCGAAGATAGTCTGCGTTGAAAGAAGACGCACTTTCACTGATATTTCGTTCATTATTTTGACGGTATGCGAAATGATCTTTCAGTAACTATGCAAAATGCGAAGTTTGAAGAGTTGGAATTCTCCGATTCTAGCGGCGGCTGCGCCAGAAGACAGTTGTTGTGGGAAACAGCTGGTTTCAGCACTGCCATCCTAAAATATTCAGGTGAAAACCCCCCAAAGATTCTTGTTCGAACCGACAACTGCGCACTTCAGGTCAACCCAATCGCAGCCCAAATACGAGCAGAACATTCCATCCATGGATCGCCCTGTAACATTACGGAGGCTAATCAATACGGGGAATTGTCAAATCTGGGGCTTCCGCGAGGGGCGAACTTCAATAACATATTCCCAAACAAAGCGATATGCTGTTTAAAAGCCATCCTGGGTCCAATCACCCTGCTAGAGTGAGGCTATCGCCAACGTTTTACGGGTTGACATAGGGCACAGCCACAGGTTGAACCGAACATCCCATCACCTCATTGGAAGGCTAGTCTGGAGAAGAACTCGAGAAAGGACATCATCGAGGATTCCAAGGTTGACAGCTGTTAATAATTATTATGGTTATTGTTTTTAAAATAACATACAACGGGTGCAGTTGCCTGCATTCTCAATCGTGAAATGGGAAAATGAGATCACTTGCAACTCTTCTTCTGCTATGATCTCCTTTAACTAGGGTCAAGGCGTAGCCACTGGAGAGGTGTCTCTCGTTGTCTCTTCACCAGGCTGAATCTGCATGGAGGTTAATGGAACGTATTTCAGGGAGCTTCAAGAAGAAGATACCGTCAGCTGCCCGCCTCTTGGGGCCTAATTCAAACGCCCTGTGTTCTGCCAGGCAATCGTTTTATAGAATTACCGCAGCTGCAGCTGCAGCTGTAGCCCATAACATGATTCTCTAAGGGGTTCACAGTGGGAGGAGAATTAACTGCTGCGATCCTCATAATTTAGTTATTACATTAGTTATTGATGTTGTTAAACAGAGCAAATCAACAACACAGGTGTTAGTTATTATCATAAATAAATGCTGTTGTGTGTCGAGTTCTGAAGCAAACACAGCAAACACCAACACGAAATTTTCTTACCACTGAATCAACCGCTGGTCATCAAAACACCAGTAACACCGACAAACCGCCAGAACCTCGAAAAAGATGTATATTGGCCAATGATGAGAAATTCGAGACGAGTTCTCGAAGACAGCCCGGCCATTGGATCCCGCAACAGAATGCCAGTTAAGTAATGCCGCTCCCGAGTTCTCACCTACGCTGCTCCACCCCCCGGGGCAAATGAAGACGTGATATGCGACAGCCTTGAGGCTCTGTGGGCTCCAAGATCGCCCAAGACATTCTAGAAAATGGAGAGACTATTGTAGCGACACTTTTCAGAGACTTTTGTCGCCCGGGAGGCTCAGAAAAACGACAAGCATGGTTTGAGTCCGCGCGAGGAAATGAAAGATCTTCTGCGTTTCACCTTGTCAAACAGGTTCTAGGCGTCGAGACAACTGCAATACCCGGAATCCAGCTGTTCCCTCTATTCTTTTTGACCCACGAACCCTTCCAACCCGGAAGGACAATCGGCATATCTTTCACGTCTTGTGTGCATGTCGATTGGAGCTGGATTTTGGAGTCGAGAGCATCCTACACTTCTGTTCGGAGAGAATATTTACCTCTGTTCTCTTGGACCTTTCGGGGTTGGAAAATTTTCAGAGTGATTGATGTTCTTTCTGACATGATTTGTTTTTGCTTACGTTGCGAGAGAAAATTACCTTGCAGAAGGACCTTCATAGTTCATGTTTTCTGGGTTTTCCCTCCTTTCAATTGGAGAGGAGAGAAGACCTCTCATAGATGAACATGACTCCTTGCGTCTCTACATTTCTTGCTTAGTTATCCAACCGTTCTGTCATCACAGTGACAAATGGGCGATTATGTCAATCATGCATTACTATACCATCTTCATGTTACAGAGATCAGCACATCGCATTTCAGACAGATTAGCAAATATATTCATATATATATCATATTATAGTTTTACATCTAAAATTCTTGAAATCACAACTTGCTCGAAGCCCCCTCATCTTCGTCGGGTATCTTAACCACGACCTTTCCCCATGTCTCTCTACCCCCTAACGCCTGCAATGCCTTCGGCACACTCTCTAACCCGACGAAACTCTGGTCCGTGAAGCTTGTCCCCTTGAACTTGCCCTGCCTAATTAACTCAAAAATGCCGTTCCACACCACTCCCACAGTCTCCTTCTCGAAGTTTGCATACTGGCCCCAATGCAGTCCCACAATGCTAACGTTCTTCAGCAATACCCGATTTAACGCAACTTTCTCAATCACCCCGGACGCAAAGCCAATAACCAACAATCGAGCATTCCAAGCGACGCATTTGAGACTCTGGTCAATCATCCCCACAGGGTCATACACGATATCAACACCAGCCTTGCCATTCCCCGTCCGCTTAGCCGCGCAGAGCTTCTTAACCGCATCCGGCCACTTAGGATCCGAGTAGTCAATCGTATAATCTGCCCCAAACGACTTGGCAACCTGTCTCTTCCTCTCCGTTCCCGCAGTGGCAATAACAGTAGCTCCTTTCGCCTTCGCAATCTGCACTGCCGCCAAGCCCACTCCGCCAGCGGCAGCGTGCACAAGAACCCAATCTCCACTCTGCACATTCGCCCGCGTTACAAGGCCACCATACGAAGTTGATGCAGTAACGAAGAGGCCCGCAGCATCCTCAAAGCTCCACCCCTCAGGAACCGGCAGCAGCCTATCTTCCAGGGCCAAAATATGTGTAGCGTAGGCGCCTTGCATGGCTCCAAAGACGCGATCGCCGGCTTTGAACCTTGGGTTAGATTTGGCAGCGGTGGGCGTGCTAAGGATTGTTCCGCCAAATTCCATGCCGGATATCCATGGTAATGGGGGCTGGTGTTGATATTTGCCCTGGATCTGAAGCAAGTCAAAGAAGTTTGTGCCGGCTGAGTGTACTTTTATGAGATATTTGTCAGGGGAGGGGGAAGGGGTTGGAAGGGTGGTGACAGTCAGGTCGAGCGGCCCCTGATATATTATTGTCAATGTCACATTGTCAATCATGAGTGGCGGGTTGCCTCCATGGAGGGTGGTAAGGGGTAGCTATAGTATTGGGAACCTCCTACCTTGACATATTCTTTAACTTGTATTGCGCGCATTTTGAAATAGGTCGTGACAAGATATATTGATATGCCGCATGTGGGAAGCCAAAATCAAATTAACTCTCCTCGACTTTTTGATACCTTCTCCCCGCAATATCCGAGCGAGTCGGGTATTCATTTGTAAGGATAGAGCAAAAGGGCGGAGATGCCCTGTGCCGAGGCTCAACGACAAGACCGAAGTTTCTTAGCTGAGCAGCCGGGGTTAGTTAACTAAACGAATCACCCAAACCAGACCGCCAAAATCACCCATCGCTCAACTAACTAGATTTCCACATGATATTATCTACGCTCAACAGCGATTGATTGAATTAAATAAAATTACACTAGGTTCAGGACATCTTATTCTAACATGGCTGATCGTGCGTGCCACAATCGCTGTGTCTTTGTGGTGCTCGTTAGCATGGCCTAGGGTCTGGGGCAGGGCCTTGTAAGTAACTTCACTTTTATCTTTCTCATTTGGCGCAAATATATTCTGATGTTACTTCATCATAATAACGATACTAACTATTTCATATCCACAGGTTTTGATAATTTGATCAAATTCTTTCACTAGGTTCTGAGAAAGGTTTTCGAGCCTCTGTCTAATGACTATCACATCAGCAAGTTATCCAGTTAAGTGTTGAAATACATTAGTTAAGCCCCTTTTCATGACAATCCATTAAAACCCCTGTTGATGCATGAAGCTCCTGGCGACAATTCTGCAGCCTCTCTCTGTTCATTGTCATATTTCCCCAATTGCAGTTATCTATTCTTGGCAAAAGCAACAGTGAAGCACGGCCACAATGTCAATTGTGAATGCATGAGGTAGCCGACTTAAAACCTGCAATTCTGGCTCTTCCTGCAGGTACCCAATGATCCATTGATTGCACAAACTTCTTTCCACAACAACTGCAGGTCCATTCGGCGAGTCTAAGACAATTATGGGGAAAGACTTTATAGGTTTCCCGGAAGATTTTTATAAAAAGCTTACTTAATGCTGCAGGGGACAGGGTAGTGTGTAACTATCCGTTTATGGAGCGTGCAAACAACGAATGGGCGGTATGTGTCGTGGACATCTTTGCATCACGAGTTCGATATGACACCTTGCATCTGAAATGTCACATATGAATATAGGGAGTGGAAAATAGGGCTTTCCGTCCGCTCAGCCGTACTCAAATCACTCGCTGGTCTGTTAGTAGTTGGGTGGCTGACAATCAGCGAATCCAAGTTTTCGTAGTTTTTCTTTTGTGTATATTTTCCTTTCCCATCTTGACAATAGGTCGTAAGGACAACGTTAGCTCTGGTTTTGGTATTTTGACGTACGTCGGACCGTATTTTATCGACTCCGAAGGAGTGACATTGGTGAGATATACGCACATGGATTTGAACGGTTGAGCATATAAACGGTATTAAAAGTGGTCAACATTTCAAAATATTCGCACAGCATTTTATGCTCTCAACACCAGATTATTACCTCATCTCATACAGAAATGATGGAATATCCGATTTCTTGTGGTGTTTAATTCCCTCAGTAATCTTCCCCCACATTACATCATCATCATTGATATATGTATCTCCAATGAATAGATGATGATCCGGCATACGGCGTAAGATAAATGGAACCCTGCCGCCAAAGAGGACACAAACTTCGTCGCCAGGACTCATCATCCGAGGGCCAATACCTAAGTAACCCTTTTCTGTAACGTAGAAACGGCGATGGAAGCATACTGACCTTGCACCACGCTCGAAACGTTCTGCATCGGCTCCGGCCTCACCTAACTCCATTGTCACAAGGCTACAGAGATAGTCAAGGAGATTCAGTTTCTCAGGTCCGCATGCTATTGGAATGGTATCGTCGACCAGGATCTTGGATAAAAGAAACACTGCGGCATCCGCTTCACCCTGCCGTATAAACTTTTCCTTCGTAAGACCCTGTGTTTCGCCCATCAACTGACTAATATCCCCCATAGCTGCTCCCAGTGGCGTAGCAAGCAATGTGGCACAAAATGCCATCACCAAAGGGGCCTTGTCATGATATAAAGGCATTGGGGACTGGTTTATCGGAAAACTAAACATTTGATTCCACAAGTCTTGAAATGGAAATGGACCTGTAAGACTGTACTCCAATATTTCGCTAACAGATTTGACCTTATCCACATGAAATCCACGAAGTCGAAGATAGTTCGGCTGCATGGGTTCTTTTGAGAGAGGCATATCTTCAACTTCTGCAAAATATCGAAAATGGCCGTCGCAGAATCCAGCAAGAAAGCAGCCTACATCGAGGACACTGCACTGGCGGGGTTGAAACCATTTCGGAACCCAAGATGGGAAGTAGCTCTGAGCTGGATCATCCGTGTGTTGCACATGCGCCAATACGGAGAGCACCCGAGGAGATTTCCTAATTAAAAATCTCGTGAGATCTCTGTAGACCTCAACGACGTCCTTGTTGTAGTTTGGCTGGAGAGCTTTGTGCCTCAGAATATCGAGACCAGGACCAAGATCATTAATGTGCCTTGCAATGCTGGAGGCAGCTCGCCGGTATAGCGACAGTACTGTATTGGTGCCCGAGGTCGACATGATTTGCGTGAGTGCCAAAGAGGGATCTAACCCTTCATCGGATATTCCCAGTAATGAAAACACCTTGTCCCGTGGATCGGTAACTTTAAAATCTCGAGATGATGCAAGCAACAATGTCAAATTACCCAGTGATCCTTCAACGGCTCCACCTCGAGACCCACTTGAAGGATGCTGCAGCAAGAAGATCATATTCCAAAATTCGAAAGGCATTCCTACCAGTATCTGATCCCGTTTCATGGCAACATATGGAGCCGTTGATATGAGGTCAAAGAAATTCATTTCTAGCCCCTCACACTTGGCTATGGCCCTTCTGCTTGCCACAACCTCCTGTATGCACCAATTTCGGATAAAATACGGGCGATCAAATAATTGGTCCAGATGGTGAAACGCCTCAGGCGCTCCAACAGCCAGTTCAACAACTGCCTTTTGTAAAGTGTCTTTATCTGCACCACAGCTATCCCGCATGTGCGCGAGTCTCTCCGCAAGCTCAAAGGCCATTTCTACCCCTGGTGTCCAGCTCCCAAGCCATACAATAACTCGCGTAGCATGCTTGTATACCAGTCGCATATATCCTACTTGCCTTGACCGCTCATCGGCATTTGACTGGTCAATGCACAAAGCATCCACCCAAAGCAGCCTAGCTTGCGTTGGCGGTCGGAGGCTCCGGAGCGCAGCGTCCAAGTTTGGCTTTATGACAATCGGACAGTCATTGATATATATGGGCGTCTGCGCCGACCCCGAGCCCCAAACATAAGAAAGAGCCTCATATGGCGGTATAGATGCGTAGCTGGGATCTAGAGCGTGGATTACGAGGGTGCCACGAAGCGGCTCATTTGCCTGCCCGGAATTGAAGAGAAATAGACGAGTGAAAGGAGGGGTCTTGCCAACGGGGGCGATGGGTGGAAGGGGTTGATAAATGAATTGAGAGGAGTGGCTTTCCATGGCGACGGCGGGGTTGGGACTGCAGACTGATGTCCACAGGACGCCTAACCTGGAAACTGGAAGCCTCTGGGAATAGCTAAACGTTCCGGGAACTTGGGAAGGTCATAGCACTCCAGTTGAACCTGTGCTGCCCAACCCAATCCGTGCCAAATTCATTCAATAGTTAACCTCCAAGCCAGAAAGAAGTTGAAATGGTCTGATGGGAGACAAATAAATCTCAAGAGTTGCCGCTTTTCCGGATTGAAAGTATGCTAAACTTCTTTCCTTGGGCGGTGGACAACTTCCAGAGATGGCCTGATTGTGGAGCAAGGGGCTAAATCCTTTCACCAAGTTAGTAAAACTTACGGAGGGGATTGTGCTTGAACCGCGAGAGAGAGATGACCGAACTATTCCCCGCCAGAGAGGGTGGACAGCCTCCCAAGTCTGTTGTTTCCACGTTGCAAATGTACCAATAACTCGATTCCAGAGGTTGGCCTGGAATATTCCCTCAAATCAAGTTTTGACCCCAAAGTCTGTCAAGGCTTGGTGGGGGAAGCAATACGGGATTCCATCTACCCGCTCAACTTCAATTCGTGAATGAATCAGGGGCATCGCGAGCACCGTTGCTGCCCATAGCAAGCTCCACTAATTTTGCAGTTTACAGAGTATGGAGGAACCACAGCAGCATATTGCTGCGGTCTTAACTAGCCTATATCAACATTTTACCCGGCGCATTTTACTTACTGCGTAGTTGTGTCTCTTCTCACATTATCCATCGAGGCTTGCCCGGATAAGTAATAGAATGGGCTGCAAACGTTTCAGCAGTGAGACGCACACAAGTGCCGGTCGGCTATTTCGAGGGCGTTGACAAGGTTTCTCCGGAGTAACTACTTTGCGTGACTCCGGATCAGACGGACAAGACGTGTGGTACAACCCATATGTACGCCTTTAGTGCACCTCAGCAAAGCTTGGATGTTGCACAAATATTCCAAGGAAATTTGCTGTGAAGCCAGAACCTGGGGATGGAATTACATCGGAATGGGGATGAAGGGTATAAACTGAGATGCAACAGAATTGCTTGCCCTTCAGGATAGGTTATGCACAACTGCTATGGAAGCTCAGCGAATGATAGTTATGGATCTCATCCGCCAAACATGGAAATTCTTCGGAGACCAGGGGCAAAGTTTGCCTGCATCTGGGCGATATTGGCCTTAACAGTGAACTTTTGTCAATTTATCTCAAGCTTGACCTGACTCCCACAAACACCGAGCGTAGAGCTAGGAGTCAGTGGAGAAAAAATTAAAAATTAAAAAAATTAAAAAAAAAAAAAAATAATTTACGAGGATAGAGGCAATCCTAGGATCCATTACCAAGAGATATTTCAAAGAAACGGGTCCGGCCGATCGAGGTCGTGTTCGTTCGTTTTATTCTCATAAGTTTCTCAAAGCGACAATATCGATAAGAGACAGCAGTGTCCATAATTAATACAAGCAACCAAAACTTCCAGGCGCCTAACGCGGTTACCGGCACAAGGATGCCTGTGGGGTCATCCGAGACCTCCAGGACAGTAACAGTCGGGTCAGTCCATATGATTTCGCAGCTTGATGAGCTCGCATATTGCGTGATGCCAAGGTACTGCACATGTACGCCTACTACATATCCTGTACACTGTACAATATTATTTCTTTCATTCATGGCATTGCTGAATATAATGCTCTGTATATTTTCGATGACGAAATCCTTCCGAGAGATTTTTTGGGGTTGGTTCTCCAAACCTGATTAGGACGGTAGGGAGATCATCCTTCAATGATGAAACATGAGCATGATCATCAAAATTGACGGGAATTGAAACCTTCTTTCGATGACACTAGGAGAAAGCCAGGTATCACCCCACCCTGCCATTGCTAAGTCCGCTACACTGTCACACAGACTTGTCATCATTCAAACCGATGGCGCTAAGATTGACGTATAGTTATGCAAGACGAATGGATGTGAACAGCTGTTGCAGCACGTCAACACCCACAAACGTGTGACAGTGGCTGGCTGGAACCCACTCCATGGGCAGCTCAGAGCACGCAAGCTCAGCCACGAATACCCCATTGCCAGCCAATAAAGCTACTGCAGAGCGTATGGAGCACACTCTAGAAAACGTCCTGCTTAGATACGGGATCCCTGGTCGAAAGCATTCTGACAAATCACAGGTCCAAAGAACGGGAAAAGAGCCGTTGCCTTTCGTTATCGTGAACAAACGGCGATCAGGACACTGGCGTTTTAGTAATCTCTTGTGGACAACTGGCGCAGTGCCATTTTTTATTGGGTAGTTTCTGAGAGCTTTGGCCAGTAAATTGTGTTCCGTGACGCGTCCGGCAAAGGAGATTGATGTAGACATGTCATCCAAAGATCTCTTCTTTCCCGACTCTACCTCTAAAAGTCTGTACAGCACTTGGTGAGGCAACGTGTGAGGTGGAATGAGAATGGCATGTCTTTATTATTTTCCTCTTTCAGCAGCCTTTTCGAAGACCAGCATTTGAGCTTGTGAGAACTGTGACTACTACAAGCAGCCTCTCTCAAGTTCCTAGAGTGTATCCTCTATTAAATATCCCTTCAGTCTTCATGTACTCCGCATGTATGTACTACTGTATGTACTATGTGGACAAGGGACAAGGGACAAGGGTACATGGGACAATGACATGTATGTATGTATGTATGTACCAGGTACGACAAGGATTGACGTGGCTACTTCTGAAGGCTCCTCAGCTATTGTCTGGCCCAGGCGTGCTCCACTATGAATAAGCTTTGTCACTACCGCCGAACCATTGAAGTCAAAAAAAATAGCCAATTGACATGGTCTCGGCGAGCGTTTTTGAGAATGGATGGCCCTGGCGTGGAGCTTAAGACAGCAATGCTGGATCTTTCGCGTTTTGCTGTCTCGAAGAAACATACTAAACGGAAGAAGCTGCAGGCATTAACTCAACCCTAGCAGCCAGGGAAAGTTCACTGCTGTTGTTTTCACCTGGTTGTCTCTGCAATGTAGATCTCGAATAATGATCTCAACACACCTGACCAATGGGTCAACGCCCCCGCGCCCCCCCGATAAGAAGAGAGAAACCCCTGCCATCAAAGCGAAGGAAGATCTATCACATCAACGATCCCGAGACTATCAAGCTTCGCTGTTCAGATGAACCACATCAGTCAGCATGCACGGTATTCGGCAAATGAGCAGTTGACGATACGCCACTGGACTAATTAAGCTTTGCTCTCTTCGAGTTCTTCTCGATTGTGTTGAGTGTCTTATTAAGAATGGGTTATAAACGACCTCATAAGAGAGCAATATTCTGATGTTTCCGGTGTACTGGCAGCACTGCAGTGATTGAGTCCGTTTGAGCTGGGTTCGCTTGGCTGAGAGAGTACCAGTTTCTTCAGATATTTCCGATTTATACAAACCAAGTATAAAGAGCCAACTGTGCCCTGCTGTACTATATATAAAGTCGACATATCATAACAGGAAAAGTATTTGTATTCATGCGTAATTAACCTGTTCGCCATTTGTATTCCTTAGAAACTGCTGTATCAGCCCAACAGATAACTAACAGGTCAACAACCTAACATTAACCCAAACCTTCCCCGAACATTCTTCCGTATTTTGTGAATATACCTACCGGTCTGAGAATATATGTGCATTAGTTCCGCATGGATATTGTCATAGTGATCGATGCTCATTACCCTTTCTGGCAAATTATTGGCGCCGGAATCGTTGCGATTATGACTGGATGGAGACAAGGTTTAGATCTTACGATGGCTGGAGCCGCATTGGCAACCGATTTAGCGTTTCGTCAGGGTCTGTCACATCTGTGGAGACAAGAACGAGCAAGGTGCTAATGACTCGGCAACTAACGAGGGGTGTTCTCCACAATTGGATTTGGCGTCTTGTCGTAACTGGATCCACAAAAAGCTCCAGGATACGGAGCGAGCAATGCATTCATTTCTTGTCCGATTGCCATCAACTATAAACAAGGATTACCTGTCAGCCCCAAGCTGACACTTTGCTCTCTCAGCTCACCTCGCATGTAGTTCATTCCCGGTAAATCCGGTGCTGTTTATAATCGGAAAGCAAGAGAAGCCCTTTGAATAAACTGGCCGAGTTCTGACCTGGTTATATAAGAGAATGAGAAAGAAAGAAAGAAAAAAGAAAAAAGAAAAGAAAAAAGAGAGGGTACAGATGTATATATATATAGAGAGAGAGTAAACGTGGAAAGAATCACAAGTAATACAGTAGAGCATGTAAATAAGCGTACCTTCAACCGACCGATCTGCAGAAGCAGTTGGCCAAGGGATCTCTCGTTTCAGTGTAGGTTTATATGTCAAAGTGCCCCTCAGTATGTCCACCTATTTGGTCAGACTACGTTCTATGGAATGACGGTCTCTGTGCAGATGCACATCCGATTTGATGTGCAGTTACATAGTTCCCAAGAATGCATGGGGAGGAGATGGTGAAGAGCCGAGATAGCTATTTACACATACATCAAGTACTCTACAGTACGGAATACATACATATGGCATGTCAACAAGCTAAATGAAATACATCTCAGTGGGGTTGGGTAAAGCTAATGGTGGTTTGAACGAAAGGGTCATGATAAATGAGTTTTGGTCCGATGAAACGACTGCGAACCTCCCAGCCAGTCAATGGCAAGGGGGATTCCATGCCGACTGGTGGTTGTGACGGTACCACAACAGGTGCATCGGTTTCAGGAAGGTTAGATTGAACTGACGACATGTACAGCGGCGAGAAAATCTAGATACAGCTTACTATGTAGGGATGCTTGAGGTTAAGTTGAATTGTGTTGATCGAGGCTGAAGGAAGAAGTGTACGCCGCAAAAGCCTGAGTTCATAACCCCAACAAGCAATCAAGGAGTCGGATAACCAACGTTTATGATCGATAGAAACCGGAGTCATTCCCTGCTGCACGACCTCGGAGGTCAGGTGTGTGGTAGGGTTAATTGTGCAACAACTGCAAGGATGTCAACACGACGAAATACTGTAAATATGAATATATTAAGTATTAACGCCAACATATATGGATGTAGTAATGTAAGTAAATATATAGAGGTCATCATGTCCCAATGCTGTAATGTCCCAAGTCCGGTCATCCAAAAAAAAAAAAAACCCCTCCAGAACCCAAAGTAAACAGCAAAAATATATATAAAAAAAAAATGAAAAAAAAGGGAGGAGAGAAAGAAAGAAAGATTCAAAGGCAAGCTGCGTATATCTCAGCGAGAAGAAAAGAGTCGCAATGGAAACGAGCCGCGATGCTGCGCAATAAAACCTGAATATCACAGATAATTACCAATGAGCGCCCAACTTTTCCAAGCACCATATGGGCATAAAACTTTTGATGAAGTCGCCAATTCATGTACAATAAATGGCGGGTTGAAAAGTAGAACGATAGTGTTCCACTGAAAAGTGACTGTGCGCAACAGGGATTCCCGTATGATGGAGAGTAGAGACAGAGATAGAAACTGTGTGGGGGTGTGAGTGGGAAGTTTGTCTCGGGTCGAGAATTTGCAATTGAGTCTTCTAATTGTTCGAATTCCGCGAATGCTAACTTTCCCCTATGGATTCTGTTTCAGTATATTCATGGTTACTATCATTTCCCGATGGTAGAGCGCTTTTACAGTTAGAATTGGTTTCTGGAACCGAGAGTGAGGTGTTTGTGGGAGTAGCAGTCAGAGCTCTCTTTTCTGAGTGCGGTTGCGTTGTTGAGTTGTGTTGTTTCAGCAAGGATGATTCCTTTCTACGTTTCATTTGGGGTTGTCGTCGTACGAGAGGAACGCAATCGACTCTGGTGGGTTTGGATTTTCCGATACCGTCTGGACAGACATGCGCTGATGTAGCGCGTCTCCAAGCTTTAATCTTAGGGTCTAACTGAAGCAAATCTGGGTCAGAATTTGGTGACATTGCTGTTGGTCCCGGGGAGGGATGCGTGCATTGCTCGCTGGAGATTGTTTCGGTGCCGTTCTCAGCATAGTCGGAGCTTCCGTCACCTATGAGGAAGAGATGGGATGGGCAGGATTGGGTCATATCGGAAGCAACGTAGCTCCATGGAGTCATGGGATTGCTTTCTGAAGCCGCTGAACTTGCCTGTGTTGGCCTCTCTCCAGGGAGCGTTTTCGCAAATGGATCACTCGCAGAAATCGGGGATTTTGCGAAACCCGTCTGGCATGATATGGGCGCATTAATGGCGCTATTCGCGATCGAGCTGGTAACGGGGTTTGGGTGGCCATAGGAATGAACCGAAGACAATGGAGATGGAGTTGTAATGTGATGGAAAGAATGGTTTGTATGATTACCAAACTGCCTGTCGTTCGGTGTGGTACTCGACGAAATCCAATCTGCTGCAACACGTTGTGCTTCAAGAATTGTTGAATCTTTTAATATGTGATGTTGGGTATATCCCGATGGCACCATCCACCCCTTGAGATCGCTCCAACCAACCTTATCAGAAAAGGACGCCGCTTGAGTGGCCGACGGGTCGTTCACAGTGGTCAATTCGAGTCGACCCGGGTGTTTCACGGTAGGGCATACTGTCTGTCCATCATTCTGCTTCTTCCTCTTTTGGCGCGAAGGTTTGGTAACTCCCCACTTCTTCAGTCGACTGCGGAGTTGGGTTTCACTGTGTTTGGTTTGGATCAGATTACGTTCCGTTGCATATCGGGGAACGAAACGAGCATTCTTACGTCGGGTTGAAATCGTCGCTCCGAATTTTCTTGATGACTTGTTTCAACGGCCATTCTTCTTCCTTGTACAGCGCTGCAATCTCAGCGCGTTTGTTCTCCCAAACTTCGGATGGGATAGACGTCTTCATCTTCACAGGAGTTGTGAAGGAAGGTGGTAGAATTCTACTTGCGTTTAAACGAAATAATGGGTTTAGTTTCGGATACTCAGATGCTTTGCAACAGGCCATTAAATGCGGAAAGCCATTGATACCCTTCCTTGCCAAACTGTGAGTAACGAAATAAGTGGGAATTACTTGAAAATGCAAAGGTTAGGGAGAGGAATGGAAACCTCTACGAGGACGGATATGAAATTGAAGAAGTAGCGTAATGGAGTACGACAATATCATTCGAGCTAATGTGCACGGAGCCAGGCCGTCTCAAGAGCACCCGTCTCGCCAGTTGCATCAATAGCTGACTAGCGCACTTTCAGGAAGAAACACAACAACCTGGCCAGCCACAATTCTATAACCAGACTAGCGGTAATTGGAAATGAGAGCGATTGCCAAGCAGAGGTGGACTTACAGTCGGCACCGCTGGCTAGCTTCATCGATTCGATGTCAATCAATCACAACAGGACAGAGTATATTCTGCAAAAATAACAAGTCCAGAGCATGAGGTAAAGAAACAGTGACACTAATGCCAGCGTTATCATACCCACAGCACAAGGCACTATGTGACAAGGTAAGTCATCAAAATAAAAGAGCAAGGAAAAGGACCTTGGCGGTTCACCAGGCTGATCCGATCCATATGGATGTCAAGTCCCGAGAGAGTTGATTGAGATTGGGATGTAAAAAACCTATTCAGAGCGTCTATACGACTAGCAACGTCATGTCATCCTTCCAAAGTTCCAAAGGTTGTCAACATCTCGATCCCCTGCAGATTTCACTCTTAGACTTTGGCAGTAAACAAGTTTCCCATACATACTTTCCAGCAACACTAGTAATTGGCGCTTGGGTGGGGGCGACAAAGAAATGCACCAGAGCCCAATCACGTTCAGCAGCCAGCTGGTCGGTTTTCGCCCGGTCCAACGAGTTGAAGGTTGGATCTGTCGCAAGCCAAGACAATGTATGTATGTACATCGGGAGTACATATCTCCACCTGGGTATATTGCATCTTTGCACACTTGAGAGTACGGGCGGGCTGCGTAAGAATTCCATTAGCATAGATCTTTTCAAGGTTCTGTACTGGGATATAAAAGTTCAGCGCGAGATGGCCGTTTGCTAGAATATAGAGCCAGTTGGCGCATGATAAGTGATGTTGTTGCCCTTAGCAATCAGCATGGGACTGATGGTAACCTCAATAGAGAATCGGGGAGGACTGAGTTTATCCCGCTCAAAGGATATCGATCTCCATAAGCAGCTAACCCTGCCTTTAACCACTAGAAAAATGAAATCTATACGTGGTTCATTACGCTCTGTCTGTTCGTTGGACATGAAAAGGTTCCATGGACCAATTAAAAATCATCGAAGTTTTTATGACTGTGCGTTTTAATAGGGCAAACCAGCCATGAATAACGGAAACCCGCCTACAGAATGGTTCCGAAGGTCACTGCTCCATACTGAGCCAAGCAGAAATGGACATGAGTGAAGAAGCCACAAGCGCATTGGGTATTTTGGGTTTCATACACCGTCGCGTTGTATTTTGCAATACGGACGTGTACTTCTTGGGGTAAACAAGGGGGTAAGGTTTAGCACTACCTCCTTCGAACCCATCACCTGCCCAAAATCCCGAACGTCGATCTTCTTCCCGTTGGCATCGCTTCCCTAGCATTCCTCTCGCAGGACTACGAGGGTACCAGCTGTCAAATATTTCGTTTTCAACGAGTTAACTAATCAACCAAGCGATTTTTTTCAGGCTGGCTGGATTGAAATAAATCATCAGTCGTCATTGCAGTTAGGCAAGATTTGCTGATAATTACAACAACTGCTTAGTTGAGTTAGCCGGGAAAGCTGTCGACCACGGTACCGTCATTACAACCCTGTCTGGGTCTCTGTCACTCTGAGCGGAAATTCCAGGATATTTGAAGGTGAGAGATGCCATTCTCGGTACTCTGAATAGCATTTCGGACGTTGAAACGCGCAGAAAGTATCCGTATTCATTAGCGGACGCAAGATCTTACATAGGAAAGCTTGGAAGAAAAATCCGATATATCACATCGGAACCGTTCTTGGCTAAACCCGATTTATCATCCTCACGAAGATTGTGGCTTGCGACGTCTGAGGAAGTGTTCCTAGCTAATTAGCCAACCCCGGATAACTAAAGCAAGTCAGGGCATGTCCAAGAATCAGGAGTTCCAAGGAATAGTGACAGTGGGAATTTTGGGATCCCTGACACACCCATCATTATTGGCAGCTCTCCGCAAACCACGATCGAATAAAGATATTTCGTGAAACGAACATCACTTGACCTGGGAACTCCGAGGGATTATAAATATCTGAGGGATGTAGGAGTTGAACGATGTCCCGAAATCCAGAGAGTTTGTACAGGGCATGATGGAAGAGGTTCCAAAAGCTTCCGGTTTGTCGGCTTGTCACGTGCCAGAACTTCTAGCTGCCCGAACAGAATCTTGGAACACTCTTCAGCGGGACGATTAATGCACTCTAATTCCGAGAATTATTGATGAGTTAGGATTGATTGACGGGTATGGCTATGAACAAATGAAGAGAGCTTTGTGGCTCGAATTTATTCCGACAACATTCAAGAAGAAAATAAAAGACGCTCATGTCGAGATTATATATGTATATATAAATATATATATACACCAGAAGAACGGTTCATGGACCGCGATATCAAAGCACAGCAGGATGCGAATTAGCTAATAATAAGAATACAGCAGAGGGAAGAAGAGAACAATCATCATCTATGATGCGGAACTCTTTTTCTTCGTTCTTTTCCTTTTTCCACTAGTCACCAAGCCAGTAACGCCAGAGCAAACTAAAGTGTGAGAAACACTGTTTGCTATCTTCAAACAACCAGATCCGTGGTACATCGTGCAGAAAATAAACAACCAAAAAAACAAAAGAAACAATTATTCAAGGGACGATCACCTATTTCTTTTGATTCGATGCTCTTGGCCCCTCCTTGACTTTTTCTTTCTTTTGTCTGGGGGTAGAACTAAGGGTTCATCTTTCAAATGCCACTCCATAAAGCGGATAAGATAGTCATCGATATGACCCGGTTCGTGCTCTCCATTTTCATCCTGAACGGCTGGCGATTCCGGACATGCAGGAGTGTTGGCATTTCCTCCATGGGTAACAGACGGCTCGTATTCTTCAACTTCAGCTGCCACAGGTGACCCTGTTTGACTGAACCCAAGTTGCCCTGGGGTGTGTGGAACGCTGCCCTCCTCGAAGTCGCCATCATCTGCGTGCTCCAGTTCCTTCTCAGCGTTCTTTGCGGCGTCGATGTCTTCCTTATCCTCTGCCTGTTCGAAAGCTCGAGGAGTTCCAACAACCTTCGTATCAAGAACTCGGTCCATGGCTGCGCTTGCTTCATCATTACCACCCGCAACGTCGTCGCCTAGCATGTCCCGCACATCTAACTTTTGGAAATAATCTGTGGTGAATTCACCTTCTTGAATAATTACATCGTCGAGCATTCGTTTTTGATTGGCTTTGCGTAAAATGTTGGATTCAATGGTGTATTCAGAAACAAAACGGTAGATGTGCACGTCGCGAGTTTGGCCGATTCGGTGACATCTATCTTGACACTGCTTATCCATAGCAGGGTTCCAGTCCAGGTCATAGAATATGACTGTATCAGCCCCAGTCAAATTGATCCCTAAGCCACCAGATCTGCTAGAGAGAATGAATGCTAAGATTCGGGTATCGTTGTTGAATCGTTCGGTTAACATTTGACGCTGCTCCACCTTTGTAGCACCATCAAGACGGAGGTAGCGGTGGCCATGGATATTAAGAAACTGCTCCAGTATATCAAGCATTTTTGTCATTTGGGTAAATATCAAAGCACGATGGCCACCTGATTGCAATTTCCTGAGAAGTTTGTCGAGTTGCTGAAGCTTTCCACAATCGTACTGCAGGAGCCTCTTATCCGGAAAGGCGATGGACAAGCGCATCTGTGCTTCATGAAAAGGGTCATAGTCCGGTACCTTTTGTGACATGCTCAGGCATCGAGATTCGATTGGTGTTAGAGCCGCACCTGTTATTTCTGAGGCGACAGCGGCCGGTGTGACGAATGCAAATTTCTGTATAATGGTTTCCATCGCCAAAGACCTCTCATTCAGAGATAAAATCATTGAAGAAATGGCTGAAGACTGCTGCAAAAAGAAGTCAAGAAGTGGGTGGCGGGGAGGTAGCCTTGGAGACTTTGTCTGGATACCAGGATTGACGGTAAGAAAGTCAATGAGACTTTTCCCGTAGACTGGGTGTTGTCCATGACGTTTCGACTCGAAGTAAAGGCATCTTTCTAGCTCTTCCATTCTCGTTTTTCGCGATGAGTTTTCCATTGAGATCAATGCTGATTGAACCGAAGAGCCGTCAAAGTCCATGTTCCAGTTAGTGCGGTTATACTGGCGCTCCCGAAGTGTCCGGAGGGGAATATAAGCTGTAATTCGCGAGGTATCATCCACGAGCCTCTTTGACGTTTGTTCCCTTGATATGGGAACTAAATTTAAGAAGTCCAAGTCTAACTTGCTCAACGGACCCTCCTTTAATAGTCGACGCCGTACAAACAGCTCTTTGATTTCAAAATCGGCAATTGCTGATTTCGGCATCGAAAAAGAAGTCGTTATCTGTCGCGTCTCAAAAAGGTCGGGGTGATTACAGACCTTCCGCAATTGCATTAAACAGTTGATGATAGACAAATAATTTCCAGATGCCAATGTTTCTTTGGTTTGCGCTCTCGACATGAATCCGTCATATAAGTATCGTTGTCGCTTTGAGAGTCGGCATGTTACAACATGTTCAAACTTTGCGGGCATTTGTTTTTCTACATCCACCTTAAGACGGCGTAAAATGTAGGGGCGCAGCACAGTGTGTAATTTCGTAACCACTTTTTTGGCTTCATCATCCATGGTTTCTCTCCCATGTTCGAGAATTTGCTCTACGGGTCGTCGAAACCATTCAGAGAAGTTTCGAAGATCGGCAAATCCTTCAACGCCAGTGTCATTACCGTCAGACGGCATGAGAAAGAAAAGAAGGGACCATAGTTCAGTCAAATTATTCTGGAGTGGCGTGCCAGTCAAAAGCAGTCTTGCCTGGGTTTTGAACGTGAGCAGTGTCTGCCATCTCTGGGATCGGAAATTTTTAATATTATGTGCTTCGTCAAGAACCATGTAATGCCAATTCCGTCTCTTAAAAGTTTGTTGATCTTGGAGTACAAGCTGGTAAGATGTGATGCAGACGTGCCAACGGTCGTCGTCCATCCAGCCTTTGCGCTTCTGCCTTCGTTCCTCTTGAGTGCCATAATATGTAAGGATTTTGAATCCAGGGCACCACTTTTTAAACTCCATTTCCCAATTTAACATTACACTGGTTGGGACAACAACTAAATGAGGTCCCCACACCTCATGTTCGACAGCTAAGTGTGCCAGAAGCGCTATCGTCTGAATGGTTTTTCCCAGGCCCATTTCATCTGCAAGAATTCCATTTATATTGCTAGTGTACAAGCCTGCTAGCCAGTCCAAACCAAAGTGCTGATACTCTCGCAACGTCCCGCGAAGAAGATGCGGGATTGGTGTATTGATTGGTAGAGGTGATTTCGGAGCAGAATTATCAGTCTGATTCTGGTCCTGGTCGTATTGGTTCGGTTCATATGAAGAAACAGATTCAACATCTGACGTCTTTGTAGCCAAGGTGTCCGGCGAGGGCTGACTGCTGGCATCTCTACTTGGCCGAACATTGTTCGAAACTTGAGCGGTATCATGCTTTCCATTCACCTTACGATCGTTTGGAGGGGTTTCGTCTTCTGGAACTTCAAGCTTCAATGGCTGGGGTTCTGCCGATGCATGTCCTGAGGATTCATGCTCTTGCACATCAGGTTCATCTGGTCCGTTGGAAACAACTAGGCCTTTATCGTCATCATCCCCATTGTCTTCACGCCTCTCACTAGCTCCCTCCTCGTTCCTTATAGTTTTTTCCTCGGGTTCGACCATTTTAGTGGAGAAAAATCCAAGTAATCCAGGACTCTCTTCATCACTGCTACTTGCCTCATCATTGTCACTTCCGTCCGAACAGGAATTAACCCCATCACTGTCTCCCATGTCATTGTCCATGTCTGTTGACTCTTCAGCGCTATCATCCAGAAGAACTGAATCAACTTCTTCCAAATCTGGATCATGGTGTGCGAGCTCGCTCACAGGCGGCAAATCAAGACCCCCGCCTTTGTCGTTAAGTTCTGGGTTTGGAGGCGAACTGCGGATGGACGGCGAACGTTCCTGCTGCGATTGTTTCGATTGACCATCAACTCCAATGTTACTTGACGCTAGATGCGCATATTTAATCCGGAGTTGTTCTGCGGTCAAGCCTTCGTCGTCATTAGTTCCATCATCATCATCCCCCTCACTCTCAGACGTCGACATATTGCTTTCATCTTCCGTTTCCTCTTGGCTTGATTGATCCCTCTCCGAGCCCGTTTCAGTGTCATACTGGCTTTCTTCAAATTCGGTATCATACGCTCGATCCGGCCTTCTCATTTCAAACAACAGAGTGGATTGTTTGATAGCTTTGTTTAAGGCGAGTTGATCCTCAGCCTTTTTCTGCTCTTCCCATCGAGCCAACCGGGCTCTCTCTACTTCTGCACGAACTGCATCAAATTGACGTTGTAAATCTTTAACAAGATGCTTACGTTTCTGCCGTATATCTTCCTGCTGTTCCTTTAATATATCCTCTGGAAGTTTATTTCGCTTCCTCCACTCCTCTGCGCACCACTGGGCAAATAATTTCGCAAGGTGTCGATGCTGTTTGCGCTCTTTATCAAGTAATTTCTTGAAGTACAAGGCATGAGCGACAAGATGGTCTTGGTGAGAATACTGAGGTGGAGGTTCCTCGGCTGGATCGGTAATGTAACGGGAACAACGTTCCTTACTTAGAAGTTGACCAGGTTGACCGGCTTCCCAAACCCTCATTCTCATGCGTGCCTCGATTAGGGCAGCTTCGGGAGTCGAGAAGCCACCCTCGTCTTCTGTTAAGGTTTCATTTTCTACCCATTCCCGGAATGACAAGTATTTCTTTTCGGGCAACACATGAGATGGGTGTTGAGTAGCTAGTGAGGGCATTTTGACTTTAAATCGCAGCCTAGGCAGTTTCTGGATCGAATTCCATCCCGCTTGCCCCTCCACATCCTCAGATCCCTGACTTTTACCACTTGTATGAGAATTTTTTACAGACACTGGAGACATGTTTGCAGGGGTAACGTGGCCTCTCTGGGACTTGTGACTATACTTTGTGTTAGTTATTGGGGTAATGGACTTGTTATGAGCGCTCGACGAAGCAATACTTGGGGCTCTGTTTCTCAAAGTTGCGCTTTTGGAGACAGAAGTTTGTGAATTGCGTTGTTTTGTTAGCGGGGTCCTGGTACTCGAGCTCTTTAAACCATCTTTCCTAGGAGAAGTTCCCTCGGATCCTATAGTAGTAGTTTTACCAACAGATAATCGTCTCCCATTTGTTCCAGACTGAGATGCCATCGCGACCGCCGGGGAATTGCCATGTCGCGGGGAGCGATTCGGTTTTGCCCGATTCACATAGTCCTGGTGGGCGGAACGTGTTTGTCTCTTATCTGAAGGAAGCAGCTCGAGCGGCACCGCGTTTGTCCTGGATGACTTCCGCCTACCGCCCTCAATGAAAGACGTTGGCCCATCAACAGAGACGCGCTTCCATGGGGGAGATACAGGACGCGGCGTACTTCGACCGGAGGAGTCTGCAATTTTCCGTTTTTTGGACGGGGGTCCAGGGAGGACGTCGTGGCAGTCATCATCGTGGCTAGGGCCATTTGGAACGGAGTCGCCTACAGCAGAATCAAGAAGCGCGTCTTGGAGGGCAGAATAGTGAGATTTGTCTTCTGACTCGGAAGTTGCGCTATCGAGATGTTGCTGGGACGTGCCGTTAAGGCTGCCGTTTTGCATTTCTTTTTAGGTGGACAGGGGCGCAACCCGCTCCAGACCCCAACGATCCCAACGAAAACGCGTTGAAAATACCTGAATGTACCATCAATCAATAGCTTTCAGGTTTTCAAGTCTGCACAGAAGGTTTGGCATCGTTATCGGCAAATTTGCGTTGCTGGTGACGGAAAAACGGGCTTGTGTCGTGGGTCTGCGCGAGAAGTGGTTTTTCGCTGACTAGCGAGTCAATTTCCTTCCGATTACGATTACGTAACCATCACCTGAACCACTCTACAGGTGTCCATATACACTAGCTAAATAGGCTAAACCGTATCCGGACATGGCCTTCAGCGTCCAAGGGACATCTTTATTTTTACAACGGAAGTTCTATTGCCAGCCTGTAGTCTGTGTTGCAGGACTCCAGCTGTCCCCATTTTAGCTTTCGATCCTGGTTTGGCGAGTTGTTGAACAAACGTCTATAGTTAGTAATCTTTAATCTACAAGACATTGGTGCAATTGCTAACTTCCCCGCACTGCCAGATGTTGAGGCAATTTGCCGCAGCGGTAAAACTGCCCTCACGAGCAGTCTATCAGGTCCCCCACGCTTGTTTATCCGTCTCACAAGTTCGATATGCCTCTCAGGCTTCAGTAGATGATCCAGAGATGGTGTGTTGCATGCTACTCGCCTCCACCCGTTTTCCGTAGCTGATAAAATGTCTCTCCAGAACAACAACTATTACAACCCGCCAGGCCAGAAACGCCAATTCCGCGACCCATACGGCGACTGGTGGGATAAGCAGGACCGAAGAAACTTTGGAGAACCTGTTCATGAAGACAACGATATTCTGACTATACTTTCTACGGAAACATATACGCATTTTAAGCCCGGTAAAGGTTTATTCTTGTTGGGATGTGCAGCTGGTTCCGTTCTCCTTCTCAGCGGGATTATCAGCCTTTGCTACTCCGACAAACCCAGTGCCCCTCGCACATTCCCGGATGGGCTGGAAAGGGAGCTTGGAGGGCCTAGCACTGTTCGGGTATGTTTGAATATTATGATGACAGTTTAATTTTTATGGAAGCTGACTCTCACCCAGGCTCGGAGACCGGAAGAGGACAAATGGTGATTTTTTGCGGAGGCATAGGTTTTTTTTATATGTAAATAAAGCGGCACATTAGAACTACATCCAACAAATGTATTTGTTTCGATGTTGAGTTTGAATTGCTACGGTTATAGTTGATAATGGTTTTAAAAAAAGTCGACTGTGGTTTTCTACAACCCTTCAATTGCTTGCAGCTGGGAAGCAGATAATTTTAGCAATCACGCATCTTTTTTGGCTTTTTAACTCTCTGATACAAGTTCTGATGACAGTACATGTCATGAAAGATAAAGAAATTCACTGATACACATATTTCTCAGCATGACACGGGATCGAATATGATAATCTTCATCAGATTGTGTTCGAAACTGCTGCTTTGTTGTCAGTGACAACCTGTTTCATTCACACATTAGAATCAGGTACTGCTCATAAGAGCTATTTTTATAACTCTTATTGTCAAACGTTATTTTCACATAATATCTGCAAGTTGTAAAACATGATAATGTGCAACAAAAACAAACAAGCGATTTATTTGTTTGTTGACAGTCTATTTGACCAACAACTGTAGCATAGAGTAAATAAATGCGAGAAACAATATGGGTCTTAAAAATATCATATCCACCAGTTCTTATTTCCTAGAAAGAGCATACATTACATCCACCCCGGTTCTCCAACTTCTATCCCCCACTACCAACCCACGAGGGTTAAGTCGACGCAGGCACGGAGTGCACTAGCTTTATAAGACTAATAGTATTTCTCAGGATACACAAACAATTCATAAACCTTTTCGTATGCCGCATCTCCGGAGCGCGCAATCAAATAGATAAACCTCCTTTTGCCTTCAGTGGTTGCCAAGCCACCAGTCCACCCAAACTTGTCTTTCGTCAGCAACGTCACGGTTATGGGTAAAATAAGCACCTGTTCCTTTTCTAAAATGCTCTTCGCCCCGTTCGTTTCAGATTTAACTTAAACTTCTTAGTTCGCTTATCGAACATCATTTTTGCTGATACTCTTCTTCGATCAATCATCGACGTAGAGTGTATAACCATCCATTACACCTTCTCGACCCACTCGCATAGTGCATACGATACCGTTTGATTCAAAAACGCCCGGTCCGCCCAACAGGGAGTAAGAATAACGTGTTATTCGATCCCCAGCTCCGTTGCGCGCGTCTCGCTGAACTCCATGACCGATTCTCTTCTTTCTTGCTGCTCACCCACCTCCTGCTTTGGATAGATAAGAGGGAAAAAAGGTTAGGCGCATGCAAAGGTCTCATGTCGACAGCATCAACACGTTCTCGCGGCTTCAGTAGGCGGCTTGATAGCCAGAGCAGCGAGAATATAGGCCGCCGTTCACGAAATGTTTCGATTGCACGAAGGAGAACTATCAGCTACAATGATGCGTACACATATGCACTCCGAGTTGCGTATCTCGCCTACCTTCTCCAACCAAGAGCCCGTCGTAGACAAAGTGTAGCAGCACCTCGTCCTCGTGCTCAGAAGTCGTCAGCCTCTATAATTAGCGATCTAAGTTTGGTTAAAGATCATAAAAGCACCAGATTACCTCATGGGTTTGTGGGTCGACTCGAAAATCGATTGACAGGAGTATTCAAAGGGATTGAAAAGGAGAAAGCGTATCAGGATGAGGGAGTGAGGAGAACCTTTGCGGCATTTTTAAACGAGTTAAGGGAACCAGGTTTCAACAAACGCATGAGAGAGGAAAGACGTGCAGAGCCTCTAGTTTTAATATTTTTCTCCAATGCTACAAAGGAACTATCTAAAGGCCAACCCCCCGATGATATAAGCTGGAAGCTCATGGTTGATCGGCATGTTGCTCTATTCGTGAGAATCATCATCCTTATACTCAGAGATCATGGCTGGGATAAGGATAGACCTGAACTCGCTAGCCAGCTCTCTGTCTTGGAAGTCAAATTGCTTGCGCATGATCAGGATCTCGCACAGGCTTCTCAAAAGGATGGAGGAACTGCGACTACTGAACTTGCACCACTATCTTATAACGTCGACGATATGCCATTAGTCCAAGTCGTGGTGAAGGTTTTTGGGCTTAGGAATTCGCAAGTCCAGTCGGATATCAACAAGTATAAAGATGTATGGACGGCAAAGGCAGCATTGCAGGACCTCAAAACGTATCAGGTTCAGCTCAACTTAAATACCAGAAGGACGCTATCCAACGACGACTTTGATTCAAACGATGCTTTTGAAGCCTGGAAAAAAGCTGAAGCTGGTGACCTCTCTCAAATGATGTTCTCTATAATGCAATCTAACCCAGAGACCAAAACAAGCACAACTGGTAGCACACTTCCTTATCTGAGTACCAGATCTAGCGACCTTGCTACCATAGATTCAGGCTATTCTGAGCCGTCTGAAGTTTGCTCTGTCGATGCTTTGTCCCTAGCTGACTCATCCAATGATTACTCTGATGACCATAATTTATACACCTTCATTCCTCCGGATGTCAGGTCTTATTACCGCTTCATACTCCTCCAAATTGTTAACCATGAGCTGCAGAACAGGAAAACCAACGTGTCTGAAGGAAAAGCTGAAGGACATCCCACTACCCTTCTTTCCAAACAATCTATGGATCTACTTAACGAAATAAGTCTCCGCTGGCGAATACCACCGTCTACCCGGGCTGTCTTGTTTCTTGATGTTTTCCGAGAAAAATACGTCGAGCAAGAGATTGATCTGGACACTTTAGACTCCGCATTCGTTTTTGTGAACCAACCACCAGTAGAAAAATCGAGGCGTAGTAGCTTCATCCCAGCCTTGACTGCGAGCAGAGAGAACTGGACGCGGGCCGACTTTGGTGTAATGACGCACCTACTCTCCTCTCTTCATGAGGCTCTCCTTCGACAACTCTACGAGACGATGATGCATTGTTATGACACCAAAGTCCCTCCTATAGGATCGGTCATGTACATCCTGGAAAATTACGTCGAGGCGGATCCCAACTTTATTCCCAAGTCGGAGGATCACGAAGAGTTTCGTTCACATGTACATAACGGACTGGTGGAAAAGGCAAAGGAGGTATACCAAGAACACCTCGACAAGGAAATTCCTCCTAACACAGATGTGTGGGAATTTTATCATGTAATGCAACTCGGGAAAGCTGTCATGAAGCTTGTCCAACGAATACAGAAGAGATATAAAAATAATCCTGAAATTATGGGGTATGTATTATAGCTGCTCACTAATTTCACATGGGCCGAAGCTGACTTATTTAGTGTGAATCCCTCACCTATCCTAATTAAATGCGTTCTTCCTATGTATGCGGAAGACGCGCGTGATATCATTGCTAGGATTATACAACAAGCCAAGGATAAGAACGAAGGAATTGGAATACAGGACGGGTTTGATCTGTACAAAGAATTGGCAGAAATTCGGCAATTTTATATATCGACACTTCCCGGGTAAGAGCTGCACCTATGATTTACGTTCTTCTCCTAATTGAAAACCCTTTTCCGCTAATGATATTGAATAGTGACACGTTTCCCATTCCAATTGAGAAACTTCTGGTTGACTTCGTTTGGCGTTGGATTCGAATGACTGATGAGAAGGTTGTGGATTGGGTAAACCAGGCCATTAAACAAGATGACTTCAAAGTCCGGACTGAATTGCCGAATGACATACCATCAGAAGAGCAACGGCACAGCGTGTCAGTAATCGATATATTCCGGTTCTTGAACGAGTTTATCAATCCGATTGTACAACTGAACTGGAACGACGATGTGGGATATGCCAAGTTTATGACTGCCATTTCAAAATCGATCGGGGCAGGTGTCGCGAGGTATTGCGAGGTCCTTGAACAAATGTTTAGTAGGGAAATGGATCGCCTTACCCCGGAACAGGAATCGTCTTTGTCGCAATCCCGACAGGAGAAATGGATGCAAATGGCCAAAGAGGCGTG